AAAAAAGTTTCAGTATAGACAGCAATGATGATATCAGTTGAACAGGGGTACCATAGAACAATGAGGTCATATTAAGGTGGCAATTCGTAATGTTTAATATCCAGTTAAGAACATTTTAGGATAAATGTACTATGTTTAACTTGACAAATTCTTGAATTCACACATTAAAGAACAATTACCTTCTGGATATCATGATTTTATTGAAACAGTCCATCAATGTATATTTTTCCTCCAGGCTGGTCGAAAGTGTAAAGTTTATGTTAGAATACACAGATTTTAATAACTTTTATTTGTCAAAAAACATATAAATTCGAGGATATAAATCAAAACAAAATAAAAAATTAGAAATAATGTAACCATATGTATACCAACAGGATGCATTTAACCTTTTAAATGGTACCTTCTATCATTAATTAGATATATACAAAGTTCAGGTGACAATCTCTTTGATCTTACAGGTACAGTTTGTATCTTACCTTCACACTACATTGAACTGACCTCACATTACATGTAGTAAAACATCTATTAAATGTTGTATAGAACCTCAGTTGATTAAATACTTGTGTTGTTTGTAAACATCTACATATTCTATCTTATTTAAATTATAAATTATATAACCATTAACATAAAAAATGAAGATCATGCTTTGTTATCCAGAGGTATAAAAGTTTATGTGGCATACAACAAAGAGATTTATAGTTGATTTAGTAAAATATCTTATTTTAATACTTTGAAAAAATAGTCCTCTTAGGGACTCTGTACTGTAGTCTTTCATCTTGACCACACACATGACTTCTTGTCTCCTCCAGATCCTGTATTATATATGTTTCACACTTTCTTTTTTTACTGAAGTGGAAAAAAGTATAAACAATTCAATATCCTATTTCATACATATTCAGGACAAGAAAAATTTAACTATTTTAACCTAAAAGATGAGTTTTGTAAAGTGGGTTGACTGGGATGATGTGTGGACAATTTGGATTGGTACTGGAATATTTATCATATTTGCTTTTCGTTTATAGTTTTGTACATAAATCAGGCTGTTGGTTTTCTTGTTTGAATTGTTTTACATGCCTTATGGATTTTGCTCATTATTAAAGGCAGTACAGTGACCAATAGTTGTTTATTTCTATGTCATTTAGTCTCTGGTGTAGAGTTGTTTCATTAGCAATCATACCACATCTTATTTTTATTTAAGTTACATTGGACAGGGAAGAAATTTGGTTCCAAATTATCTATAGACCCCTCAGAGAAAGAGAGGGTTTTTTCACACAGAGATTGTAACACTGTCCAAGCCTAGGGCATCAGATTTAACATCCCCATTCCATTTGGACATGTCTGTGTATTTATACATCCTGCACAGCAGAACAAAGGTTCTCATCGTGGGTCTATTAATGTACTGACAGAGGTGAGATGTCTTGGAACCTTATTCTATAATCTAGTACTATTTGGGTTTTACAAATTAAAGTACTCATATTTGTACTGTTTGTAACCTTTTCATTTTTTTATGCCCCCGCCGTAGCGGAGGGGGCATTAAGTTTTACCCTTTTCCGTCTGTACGTCCGTACGTACGTCCCAAAGTTGGTTTCCGTTCTCTAACTTTAGTTTGCCTCAACCAAATGTTATGAAACTTTTACACAATGCTTATTACCACAAAACACAGATCAAGTTTGAATTTTGGTGGCGTCACTATAACTGTTCTTGAGTTATGCCCCTTCATAAACATAAAAATTGCATAATTTTTCGTTTCCGTTCTCTAACTTTAGTTTGCCTCAACCAAATGTTATGAAATTTATATACAATGCTTATTACCACATAATACAGATCAAGTTTGAAGTTGGGTGGCGTCACTTTTACCGTTCTTGAGTTATGCCCTTTATAAACATAAAAATTGCATAATTTTTCGTTTCCGTTCTCCAACTTTAGTTTGCCTCAACCAAATGTTATGAAACTTTTACAAAATGCTTATTACCACAAAATACAGATCAAGTTTGAATTTTGGTGGTGTCACTTTTACCGTTCTAGAGTTATGCCTTTTTACAAATGGAAAATTGCAGAATTTTTCGTTTCTGTTCTCTAACTTAAGTAAGCCTCAACCAAATGTTCTGAGACTTATACACAATATTTATTACCACAAAACTCAGATAAAGTACAAATTTGGGTAGCGTCCTTTTTACCGTTCTTCAGTTATGTCCCTTTATAACTTTATATTATATGTAAGCGGGGCATCATCTGTGTCCATGGGACACATTCCCCATTTATTTAATTTGTATCAATTTTCTGCTACTAGTAAACAATAATATCCCCATAAACACCCCTGTCTATATTGTCAGGATTAATAATCTATTACATGTATGTATACAACTAATTTAGAACTTGATCTTTAACCATTTGATTACTTGATAATGCCAATGCTTATCCATTACAGACGATCCATAATGTAGCAGAACTTTCCAATTATACACCAATTACCAATCAAAATTAATAGATATTATTATGACTAACTTCCAATACACATCTTTTATAATGGCTTGTTATGATTAACTCATGTGGTAAATGATGGAGATGCCTCATTTCTGGTAAGGATTCTTTATAGTTATAGAAAGAGGAAAATGAAAAATATCTAGGGATGAGACATGTTTACTAAATTATGATTAACTGTATGCAAGAAATGAAAGAGACAAATGTTTGGTGCTGCATACTCAACTTTCCATCTCTTGTATTACAAATAAATGGTTTACTGTTATGTTTTATTGAAATATGTGTTATAAACCAAGTACTTTTCACATCTTTTACTTCCATATTTACTTGTTCATATTCCTCAAGTGTTCATTCTTTTTAACTTCTGTTAAACCTGTTGACATAGATACAAAACTTCTCAAAGTATTATTTGGCATGCTGCATTTCGGTTTTTTGCCTCCGAAAGTCCAGTTTCTGTCGGTATTCAAGTATACATGAACATGTGATTATTATCTAGAGAGGTTGAATTCTTTTACAGTTGAATATTCATATTGAAGTTGAAATTCAAGTTAGCTTGAAATAGTTATTCAAATACAGTGGCGGATCCAGAAATTTTCACAAAGGGGGGGGGGCACTGACTGCCATAAGAGTGGGCCCGCTAAGTCATGCTTCAGTGATTCCCTAAATAATCGACCAAATTTTTCCCACAAAAGGGGGGCCCGGGCACCCTGCCCCACCCCCCAAATCCGCCTCTGAAGTAAGATGGGATTAAGAGATTGTGACACTCTTTTTGTATTAGAGACACCCGATTGGGTGTATCTTGTCTACCATTACACCATGGTATAATGGTTAACGCAAAATGATAGATAGTTTTCAATAATTAAGAAAGGGGGTCTTTCAACAATTGAACCTGATTTCATGGTAAAGCATAATAAATGCAGGATACTGTAAATTCAGAAATTATTGCGTGCATTTATTATGGTGATTTTTGAAAAATGAACAAAAATACAAGTTTAATTATTGCAATTTTCTGAAAAGCTACATACAGATATATGTATCAGATACCAGAATAGGAGTTCTTACTATTGCTTTACTCAAGTAGTCAAATTTTTCGCATTTATAAAAACTTCGCAATAATTTCTGAATTTAAAGTATCCAATTACATTTAATGGCATCATGCTGTAAGTACATTTTTCTACCATACATGTTTAATAACTCCATGTTTTATCTTATGGTAATACTCTTCCCTTGAACCATGTCATCTCATTCTGAAAATTCATTTCTAATATTTGTTGAATATAAACAGAAGAGTAATCATTTTAAGTAATATTATTACAATTGATACAAGTGAATATTTGTTTAGCTGTCTATACTTTATGAACTGACGGAAGATTTAAGATAAAAGTCTATTTTGGTTCATAGCTCTATTAGGAAATAATATATTAAAACAGGAAATATTAAGTAGAGTTGGTCAGTACTTCTATATGATGGTACTTATACAAACTAATTACACAATGGAATGAAAGGTATGTGTGTATTTCAACAGGAACAAAAAAGTGTAATTTACATTATTATTTTTGACATTTATGTTAATATTTTATGGAAAAAAAATTGTTTACTTTTAAAATCGTTAAAAACTATTTGAACATTTTACAGTAATGCATTACAAAATTTGCATTGTTCTAAAAAGGAAATTAGTATTATGCTAGCTGTTGCATAAGTTTCATTTCAATGCATGTTATTCCACACCCAATTAGTCATTTTCTAGTGACTTTTTAATTGATTGTATGTATAGTTGGAATATAATTTAAATTTTTTAAATAGTACTGTGAATAATTAACCATGTGTTAGATCAATAGCATAGCATCTTACAAGTTCCCAGGTTATTTTTTGCCGTTGTTCACTTAGGAATGGTACATTTACTTTCAAATTATTTTATATTTTTGTCATTGGATCAGTTGAAGAGAATGTAATTTTTTTTTATACTAAGTTACGATTTAAGTGTCCATATATCCAAAATACCAGCATATTTATAAGTTATAACATATCAAGGGCATGTGAAGTTTTCTCATGAAGTGAATTTAGAAGTCAATTGAATTTTAAAAAAAAAGTTTTCTTCAAAGAAGACTAGACATATATTGGGCGCCCGCTAACATGTTTAACCCTGCCGCATTCTGTATGTGTCTAACCCAAGTCAGGAGCCTGTAATTCAGTGGTTGTTTGTTGCTGTATATCATATTTGTATTTCGTTTATTGCTTTTCACATAAATTAGGCCATTAGTTTTCTCGTTTGAATTGTTTTACATTTGTCATTTCGGGCTTTTTATAGCTGACTATGTGGTAGGGGTCTTGGGCATTGTTGAAGGCCGTACAGTGACCTAAAGTTGTTAATTTCTGTGTCATTTGGTCTCTGGTGGAGAGTTGTCTCATTGGCAATCATACCACATCTTCTTTTTTTTTTATATATATATCTATCAAGTTTATTTCACACCTTGGTGAATATATTGTAATATATTTACTTTGTTTTTTTTCTTCTTCAGAATTTGAAAGTCATCATTAGGAATGGCCACCTTATAACATGATAACTGGATTTAATTATGGATAGTACATTGTGACATGTTGTAATACAAAGGAATTCTTACAATGAGGTTAAAAATGTTCTTTAGCAATGTTTAGGAATTTACAAATCAAAACCTTGCAATAAGTGAAAATGGCAGCTAATGCAACAGAAAGTGACATAAGTTCACTAACTAGTACAAAATCTGTGTTTCATGGAGATGTTATCAGGTCAACAGCCTCATTTTCATCAGAATTGTCATCATCACAGCATTCTTCAACAGCATTACTTTCAGGGTCGTCAGCAACACTACATAATGATGTCCCATCCACGTCTACTCTACAAGATTCATTAGCATCGAGTCATAGTGCCTTCTCCACCGTTCATCATGCCAGTTCACAGTCAGTATCATCAACATCTCAACCACTATCAACCTCAGCCACACCACCTTTGACCTCTGTCAAAGAACCGTATGAAACATCAAACTACAAAATTTCTAGTCATTCATCAAGCCCTGTGAAATCAAGTGGAATAGATTCCGTGCAATTGACATCAAACATTTCACCGTCATCATCAGTTGTTTATCCTAGTTCTTCATATATTCCCCCAGTCTTGCCAATAACTACAGCTGCCACCAATGGTAGTGTTTCATCCACTCCATGTAAGTATTTCCTTTAATCTAAAGATAAATTTTTGCCCTCTGATGCATTGAAGAGAGGGGAAAAGAGTTATGCTGGGTGTCTGTCAATCCATCAAATTGTACGACCTAGTAAATAAAACCCATCAAAGATATAAGGCTAAATATTTTGTATGTCAGATGCACATTTCATCTGCAAAAGTCTCATCAGTGATGCTCGCTTAAAAAAAGTTAAAGACCAAATCAAGTACAAAGTTGAAAAGCATTGAGGACCCAAAAATATTCTGAAATGTATAAGTTTTAATAACCCTAACAGTTCTTGATGGATTTATATAATAGTTTTATATGAATAATATCTTGATTGAGAAAGCACTTTCACCTTTGCTTTTCTTAACAGATGTTAATAAATTTATATGAAGGTATTATATCTACAACAATTAGATCAGGTTAGAAATTCAGTAGTTCGATTGAAAATTCTTTTGGAGTGTATGATCATTGTAATTTTTCACAGATTTTGATAAGATTCATATGAAAGGCTTATTTTAAAAATGTCTCAATCAAGTTTGAAAACCAACTCCAATTATTTTTTTTTTATTGGATATAAGCCCCTTTGAAATATAAACTATTGGAAAAATTGTTGCCTCAACTGTACACAGTTCATTAAAGATTTTGATCAAATTTGTATCAAAGGTCTCAATCAATTTGATTGAAAATGTTTTTGAGAGATATGACCATTGTAAATATAACTTATGTGATCAATTACCTTGTAAGCGCTCTCACCAGTTTGAAATTGGCTAGTCTTTTTATGTACCTTTTGGTCATTTAGCTCCAAATGCTTCTATGTATTTATACATCCCTAGCTTTCAAATGTTAGAATTTGAGCGTAAAATCCTGATGAAGGTAAATCCATTAAAGCATTTCAGATTAAAAAAAATGTTCAAGTGACCCTTACAATTCTTGATGTTTTGTAAAATAGATATTTGTAATCATTTAATTTTGAGGACAGTATGACCATGATGACATGTTTTTCAAGTCATCAGTACATTCAGATTGAAAATTTGTGGAAGTATACTGTAAACCAACTAATTTTCGTGAGCAATATGTTTTCATGACTTTCATAAGTAGAATAAAAAATGCAATATAAATCATCACGAATCTTTAAATATGGGTCTTTCCTTGGATAAATACGTCAAGAAAATAAGATAATCATAAAGACAGCTAGAAAGGACCAAATGCGAAATAAAGTCTCCCTGAAAATAAGTTTACAGTATGTGACTGTTTTAAACTCACTCCAACCATTGTCATTGCAAAAAGTTTAAATCAAATCATGAAAAAATTATTGGCAATGCAGATATTGTTTAATGTATACCCAGTCATGTTCACTGTTGAATTTCTCAGAATTCAAAAATCACACAACATTTGTTAATCATGAAAAATAAGAACAACATAAAAAGCAAGTCTTTTTCATCAGTATTTTTTTTGTAACAAATTTCTTGTATTCATATGGAAATTACTGGATTGTTTTTTTTTTAAAATGAAATTGATATTAATTACAGCATCTTTAACAGATAACTTGACATTAATCCTTGGAATGTCTTTATGTGGAGTTGGTTTACTGATTCTTTTAATCATAGTTTTGTTTGTCTGTTGCAAGAAAAGATCAACCACAAAGGTAAATATTCAATTTAAATACAGTTGTGTAGTAATGCGATATGTAGAAATGACACTTTGACAAGGAAAAATATTGTACAGAAGTGCATTAGAATAGCTTTTTGTAAGTGAAGGAGCCACTCATAGATGCAATTATAGAATATGTCATGCATTTCAATTTTAGATAGAGTATAACACATAAACCCTTATGGAATAGTCATTTAGTATTTAAATTGATGAGGGTATGTTTGAATGGAACTGTCACAAATTCCAGGTGTTACTATGCAACGGAAAATGCAAAAATTTAAAAAAATTCTCAATACCATTAAAACCACAGTGAAAACTGCTGTATTGTATGTATATGTGGTTCCAATGACAGAAAAAGTACATCAAATTCTGGATGAGTACTGGTTAGGGGCATTTAGCAGTATAAACAAATTGGTAAAACTTGAGTATATAAAGCAGATTTCTGTCTTGGATATGTTTTAAAAGGAGAAGGTATGATAAAGCATAATTTTGACCCCTCAAGTTGCAAATAGTAAACTTATTCAAGCCTTTCAAACTCATGTTAATTTTATTGTTAAATGAACCAGTTGATTAATCTGGAAACTTTAGTGCAGAAAAGCCACTTGTGAAGTCCCCTTGATAAACATGCCAAAATCAAGGATTTGTATAGTACATTTGTACTATACAAATCCTTGCCAAAATTAATGTAAATCGTGGCATGTTTATGGTGTCAGAGGGACATCACAAGTGACATTTTCTCACTTAAGTATCCAGTTTTACACTTGATTATCACAGAAATATGACATAAACTGTAATTATTAAATTCTTAGAAATGTTAAACAAGGGAGATAACTATCTTACAAACATGACCTAATAGGTCTTCATTGACTACATTTTCAGCAACAAACAGTAGAAACTGTACAGATTGGAGACCTATGGGCCAGTAACCGAGGAGATATATCTTATGCACCAACATTTGACTCAGTACTAGATACAGTATCAGAATCACCGAAAGTTCAGAACAAAACCAGTAAAGGTATTACTGCATATGTTAACATTTGTTAATTTCCAGTATTGGGCATATGATTAAATATGATTGAGCCTATGAACTTTTACTGTTGATAAAATTTTTATGAATATGGCTGATATGATAATAAAACAATAATTTTGAAATTTTTTTGATATCTATTAAAAACTGGAGAAAAAGAACAATTTTACTTATTCAGATGATCAAAGTATTTAAACCTCTTATCATTCCTTGAAATCTATATTTTACAATAAAACTAAATACCAAGGTATTTATGAATCCAATAATTACTTTCACTTGTTGTATTTCTGTACTGCAGATAATTAAACCAGGGACACAATTTTCTAAAAAAAAGTAACTTTGTCTTTTATTGGTGTCATATTACAGTTTTGATCAGTGTTTGTCTGATTTTTTTGTACCCGGTACTCTTGAAACAATTAATTAAAAACCCAACATTTTTAAAGTTGTTTTTACTGCAGGTTGGTCTGGAAAAAAGAAGTATAGAATAGGTATAAAAATATGTTTTGTTGTTGTTGAATTTGTTATTTATTTCAGATGCTATTTATTATGCTTTAATTTTTAGTGTCACATTTATTTGTTTCATTTGCATTAATTACTATAAATTTTATTATTTTCTATCAGTCAAATTGACAGGTTATTCAGGTCATTCATATTAAGTATACATCTCATTATTTCCACACATCAAAGTGATCATTTCTTATAAACAATGTTTATATGATTTTATATGATGAAAATATTGAGAAAACATTTCAAATATTCTTGCCACCAATGTCATGTTATATACAGTCAAATCTGCTATAAAGGTCACTTCTTTTAAGAGAAAAACCTGTCTTCTAGGGTCCTTGTCTTTCTCCTTATATAGTAATAATTATGTATTTTGAATCTCAATTTGAAGGTCAGTATTTTCCTGCTCTCAAGGGTGACACAGGTTTTACTGTATATCAAAAAATGAATATACCATATCAGGTGGTTCGAAATGAGGTGATAAATTTGTCTAAAAGTCTTTGCACCTTAAAGTTTTCATAAATTCTTATACTTATAAAAGTATTGTTGAAACCTAATTGTAATGAACCCATTACGTTATAACAAGGATTTGTATAGTAAGGTAGTATATAAGTCTTAATAAACAAATCCTTGGTTATAGGTACTTATATAACATATAGTTGTGTAATTTATGCATTCAGGATTTTCAGGCTTTTGTACTGTGTTTGGTGCTTTTTCATTAAAAAAAGTTTTGACATGCCTGAAATTGTACATATTGCTTCAAAGGTTTCACTTGCTTAGTTAGGAGAGAAAAGTTGTTCCTGGCTTAAGATTTGATTTATTTTTTACAGTGATCTTTGTATTAAGTGGCAATATAATGCTTTTAGATATTTTTGTTGTTGGGATACTGTCTCATTGAGGTATACTCCACATATCCTTTTATTCATCTCCATCGTATAACATGTATTTTTATATCAGCAAACTAGTCTATTTGATAATTTGAATAAAATGCATTACATAATAAACTTTTGAAAATAGAAAATTCTCCTAATTCCTTTGTCCTTTTCATTCTATTATTAAAATAGCTGTTGGTGAAATTATATACACACCCAGATAAAATAAGCACTACCAGAGACTAAGTGAAGACACAGTATGCCAATTTTTGTAGAATGCTTGCCAGAATCAATGTCTGAAATAAACGACATGGTGGTATTAACATTATTGAAATCATTCCATTCTATGTCTGGGAAAGTAAAAACTGATCAGTTCTGATGATCTAAAGTGCTTTTGTTGTTTTTGGAATTTCCTTTCACCATGTTCATTATCAAGGGAAATCATACATCTTCTTTTTATCTTTTATTTAAATCAGAATTATTCATCAGATTTACTAAGACAGATTTACACACTGTATCATAGAGAAAATAGATTTATAGCACATTTTCTTATCAAAAATACTTAAGTACAAATTATTTAATTTTGCATAGTATTTTAGTTAACAAAGTTTTTTTTATCCATGCAAAAGAACACACATAAATACTGAACTCAAAGATGAGCAAATTATTTGTTTCAAACTCACACAGAAATTCAAATCAGATGATCAACTTATTATAATGCATTTTTTTGTGTTGTTGCATTTGATAAAATCGAAGAAGGCACCAAGGTGGCAACAAAACACCAAAAAGTCACAGAAAACACAATGGACGAAAGAAAAGGGACATTAAGGCAAACAGGAAAGAGTACACTGCCATAAAAAGATCACTGTTACACTCTTTCTGGTGTAACACCACTAATTCGGGCCCGGCCAGAAAGCACATACCAGAAAGTAGTACCTATTTAACACACAATAGTTCCTACGCATGAGTGTAACTTTCAAAATATGTAGAATATTTATGTATTTTTGGTATCAAATGAAAGCTGAATGACTGGTGATCATTGTAGAACACTTTTTGACTGATAATTTTGAATTTTTAAAAAACTGCACCAAATTTTAAAAAGAGGGTACATTTTGCCTGTTTGTCAGATCTGAAGTACCTGTTTTGGTACATCCGAAGTTCTGGGAACCAGTTCTTTCTTATATGCTATTAAAGGTATATTGATTTTTTCAGTACAAGAAACCATAAAATGTAGTTTTGACATGCAATGATTGTCACTTTATTTGAACTTAAAACAAAAGAGCTGTGCCTGCTTGAAATTGAGGAATTTAACATAGAAAGCAATGGGGCCATGAATTAGTGGTGTACTTCCTTCTATCCCTCTGATTAAGGTTAAGATAGCATCTTTGGTATAACAATAACAGACCCCTATGACTCACTGATTTCAAAGCACCTGTATAACTATCTCATTATTACAAATTCAATAGCAGAAAATTTTAAGGAAAGCAATGTTCATATGTCAGCTTTGAGAATATTGCGTTTTATGTTAAATTAATGAAAACCAGTTATCTTTGAACAATTTACTGCCAGCTAATTGTAAGAAAATATGTTACAGAGGAATATTTACAATTTATCATCTTTACATGTGTTTACCAAGATTATGATTTGATTGAACATAAGGCTGTGCTTCATACTAAATGATCATGGCTTATCCAAGTAATTGTCAAATATTCTTTATTTTTTTGTAAACAGTTGTTTCATTTAGTGGCACTACTCAAATCTTATAACATTCTTTTTAATCATTTAATCTGCTGAAGACAAGGGTGGAAAAGGGGGATTTCTTGCTACATAGGGTATCACCTTTAAAAAGGGGTGAGGGTTTGAGCCTAATTTTCATCAAGCTTTGAATTTGTTATTCTTCAAAACTCTTTAAAATTACTTTTTGTAGAAGATTATAATGTAAATAAATGTTGTTTTTGTTTGTGTATTAATTGGGATGTATGCTTACACTTTATAAACAATGCCCTCTCAAAAGTGTACTTTCATGTTTCTGGTTTTTGTTGATTTGAACATGTACATTTCCATGAGAAACACAAGGGAATATTTCTCAAAGGGCACTGCAATATATATTGTGATGCTTTGTTGTAATAGTTTGTTTTTTCAGAGTTTTTTTTAATCAGACCTCAATCCACAATGAAGTATAATCCTCAAAAATCACATTTCATAGAAGTTTGTTTGCCAGATATATACATTTTAATAAGACATTTGATTACCAGAACATATTGTCTAACAGCAAAATTTTGGTTTTATAAAGCTGCTTTTATGACTTTTTTTTTCAGTTCATTTTTGCAATAATTTCAAACTTGTTTATGCCTTAGGTGTGACAGTATACTAATTATTTTCTTTAATGTGTCCATGACCCAGGGCCTGATTCTGTAGATAATATATATACACTATTTCACAACTGTTGTCCATACTGATATATATCACTGATTTAATTTAAACTTGCAGGTGAACTTTGTAATTCTTGTCAATTTCAAATTTTCAAAATTCTTTGGTCTGTTGTAATTTTTTACATCTGAAAAAGTTAGTCAATTCTCTGGACATGAAAAGTCCCAATAGACATTTTGAATTTTACAGTTTAAGGTTATAGGTCACTGGACCATATGCCATATGCATATGCTTCTTATGTTTGAATGTTTATTATGAAATGAGCTGAGGGCATTGACATTCAATAAGCTACATTGTACAACTGTTAGTCAACCATGTTCTTTAAACAATAACACACATAGTAGAAGTTCTTTAAAAGGCATTGCAACTTTTAAGAGTTGAAAACTTATCATTCTTTTCCTACTATAAATAGGTTTATGTTAAAGTAATTACACATGTATTTATCTTTTATAGGGAATACACATTCATTTATCTTGGGCTTCCCATAATAAACACATTGTGTAAAATTGATTTCAGATGTACTATACCATGTACTGTACCCATACACAGCCCAGGATGATAGTCAACTTAATCTTGACCTTGGTGATGTTGTGACCTTGGTAGAGAAGAGAGGAAATGGATGGTGGAAGGGTAGGATAAAGGACAAAGAAGGCTGGTTTCCTGGCAGCTATGTGGAGGAGACTGGTATAGGAAAAGGTAGAATAGGATTGTCAGGTTGTTATCTCACTTTATACAAAAGTCTCCAAAACCAAGACAAGGGGAGGCAACCCAGCACTGTCAGTAACTGTCAAGTAGTACTAGCCCTAATACTGCCAGCTATAAATAGATTATCAGTTCACTGCAGTGCCATGTTGCTAATTAGCCTCTGCATCTCACTGTGTGAGTTGTTTTAGAGAAATTTATCAGTGTTACACCATGTAATTGTTTTATTAATTTTCAATGATTTTTGAACATTTTAGAAAGTAACATTAAATGAGTTTGTTTTGCAGAATTGAATGCAGAATTTCTCAGTATAAAATAAGTGACAGTGGATTATGAAATTATATATTAGATTTATCAAATGAAAGTAAAAAAATTACGTTTTCATTAATTTGATTATTAAAAATATTTGTAAATCTCATTTAATTAGCAAAAAAAGACAAATAATATATTGTATTATTTCATGACGAACTGCTTCATGTCAACCCAGTTGACATCGTTCAATAATTTAAACCATGAGTGTGAATTTTCCTTGTAAATCGTTATTTAACCTTTCAATATTGTTGTCCTTGCTCCGACTCAAAAAAGTCTAGTGTGCATCTGTTTGGTTCTTCAACTAATTTATTTATGAAATCTTAATTAATAACTATAAACGTAAGAAATCGTTTATCTTTGTATTTTCTCCAAATAAAAGTTTAACTTCTTTTCAGAATCAAAAGCGAGACCACGTGTATCCAGGTTTCTCTGTATCCTAAAACGGGGCTATTTTTTCGTCCTTTTCTAGATAATCCTCATCAAAACCTATAAATCCTTTGTCCGAAAAATCTTTTAGAAATATCTATCTTTCAAAATCACGATTTTCATGGTCTATTTCCTAGGTCCCCATCCTCTACTTCTACAAATACTTCCATTGTTTCATACTCGAATGTTAACAAACTACGGGGTCAATTTTGTCATCAAAATAATTTTAGAATGGAATGCGGGAAGCAACCAATGAAAACATATTTCTACAGGGAAATCCTTCTTCTGACGTAATATCAACGTAGAATAAAAATATCTGTGTGATTTGATTGGCTAGATCTCGAAACCTTTACCTTATATAGAAATTCGATATATTGACGACCAGCACTGAATGAAACTACCGGAAGTTATCAATATATCGACGACCGGCAGTAGAGTAAAGTTATATGGGGACTCACTATATCGATGTCCTGCAGTACTAGGGCTAGTATGATCAATTTTATATCCTCCTTCTAAAAAATCTGCAGTATCTAATGCATTGTGGGCCTCCTGTTTTATTTTCTGATCTGAATGATTTGATAGTTCCACTGCATTTAAACAAATCTTTTTCAATATCTTATGGCATTGTATACCTATTATCTAAGTTTTCTTTTTTTCTGTAGGTTATTGATGTGTAAATGTAACAAAAAATTTGTTCCGGCGTGACATTTGTTCCGCCGGAACTTATTTCATAGAAAATATGTTCCACCAGAACTTATATCACAGAAAATAAGTTCCAGCCCTGTAAAAATTGTTCCGGAACTAATTTTTTAACCAAATGTGAAATAAGTTCCGGAACAAATATCACAGCTCCATGAATTTCGTTCCGATATAAATTGTTTATTTTAAAGTCAGATAAATTCCCGTTATAAAAGTTAAAATTTTTTGAAATATCAAATTAAGACAGCATATCTGTTGAAAGTAGATAATATGATTAAAAAACAAATGCACAATTAAGATTAAAATTAAGATTAACAACGGTGATAAAAAATTTAAACACCGTGACTATTTAATTTTTGCAGTTTTAGCCTTCTTGTTTTGTTTTTGGCAATTTTCACATTGTTGAACATATTGCTTTGTATCACTAACAATACCTTTCCAGTAATATCTTTCTGTTATCTTATTGACAGTTTTATTAAGACCTTGGTGCCCACTATGGTCATGGCACATTTTTAAAATACTTTGGACTTTGTCTTTTGTAACTACAAGTCTTTTGGTTAACTGACCAGTAGTTTTGTCATTCTCATTATAATACAAATGTTCATCTTTAATCATGAAATATTTCTGTGTGATTTTTCGAATTCTTCTTTTTTTCACCATTTGTTTCATTTGGATATTTTTTTTCAAGAATGTAATTAAATATTTTCCTATACTCCAAAGGATCCATATTGGATGTTTACACTTTTTATTATTATATATTATCAATGTAGTGCTTGTTTTATAATGTACTTGAATGATAACTTTAAACTCACTAATGACAATGCTCATTATTAAAGATAAGTTGTATAACCAGTGGAACATATTTCACAGATTAGGAACTTATTTCACCAGGTAAGGAACAAATCTCACAAACCAGGAACTTATTTCACCAGATAAGGAACAAATTTCATAGAATAGGAACTTATTTCACAATGTAAGGAACAAATTTCATAAACCCGGAACTTATTTCACCAGGTAAAGTGTGGAACTTATTTTATAGAGATGGAACAAATTAAATAGAAATTGTCTGTGAAAAAAGTTCTCCCGGAATATATTTCATGTGATATTTGTTCCAGTGGAACTTTTATCACAGGAACAAATTTTGGCTCACATAAACTGTGCCGATTAACTGCTAAACTGATTAAAAGTCCAAAGTTTGTGAGTCAGCAGCCCATTTACACATCAATAACCTCTTGAAAAAAATGTGTTATTCATATAATTCTCAATCTAAGCAATAGTTATTCTTTTCTTTTTATTTCAACTTTCTTGAAATCCCAGGATTTAACTCATGTGTAGCATGAATATAACACAGTGAAATCAGCATTGTGTTTACATAGATTACAAATTAGTTTGGGCAACATAGTCTATCAAAGTATAACCAAGGGAAAAATTCTTACACACCAATCACATATATATATACTTGTAGATTTGCCAATCTTACAAGAATTATTTATTTGTAAATTTTACATCAATTTTCATCATTATTTAATGAAATGTACAACACTTTCTTTGTAAAGTAAACAATGGTGGTTAGACTTACTTTTAGTGTGGGTAGATTGTGACATGTTTTCGGCAACCAAAAAAGTGGTCGGAGGTGTAGACATTTGAGCAATTTAAAGCCAAAAACTTGATTTGTTTTTATTTGTCTGAATAGTGGGAAAAAACATTGTACTTCATTACTTGAATATAAATGAATCAGGTTAACTCAAATTTACTCAATCAAAGTTTATTGCCTGAATAATGATTATAATTGTGAAGAAATTCATGTTTATATTTACAGTGTACACATCTAACCATCATTTACCTAATGGACACTCTCCAGTCAGTTCCTTTCTAAAGAACCAGGATCTAACACCAAAACTAGCCAAATCTACCATTAACAGAAACAGTGCACCAGTCTTCTCATTTGATAAAAAGGTAATGTAGCTGGAGCTTTTATAAACATAAATCTAACATTTTTTTTTTGCCCATGTGGCCGGAAGGGTCGTGTGAGCTATTTTCACGACTTTGTGTATCTGTGGATTCAGTATTATTTGTGGGATACCAATTTTTCGTGGATTTCGCTGGTCCAAGTGAACTCCGAATTTATATGTTCAACAAAGTACAAATTTTCTATAGGCTTGTACGCAGACCTTGGTAAAACCAGGAAATCATATACCCAGGAAAATACAAAGTTTCCTCAATCTACGAAAATTGGTAGCCACGAAAAATAAATGAATCCACAGTATGTGACATCCATAAACATTTCTTAAAAGTCCTTCTTCTCTGAAATAGAGTCGAAGGATACCACAGGGACATTCAAACTCATCAGTTGAAAATAAACTGGCAATGCCATGGCTAAAAAAGAAAAAGACAAACAACAGTACTCAAAACAACATCAAAACCAAAGACTGAGCAACACGAACCCCACCAAAAACTGGGGGTGATCTCAGGTGCTCCAGAAGGGTAAGCAGATCCTGCTCCACATGTGGCACATGTGAAAACTTTCTATTGATTGAACCAAAGTGCTTCATCTATAGGATGTCTACTATGAAGTTTGTAATTTTGTCTGGGTTGATCAACCAAAATTTCCACCATGGCTAAAATTAGAACTTATGGTTCAAACTGTAGTGTTTGGCTAATTTCTTGGAAACTATAGCAATAAGAGAAAAACTAGCAATTTAAATTTAATCACAACAACATGCTCCATCTAACCTGAAAATTTCCCCATTTTGGAGTTAATGCCACAAATGTTGATTACGAAGTTTTCTGGAAGTTCTTGGCTATTGTTTCGAAAACTATAGGAGCTGGCTTAAAAATGTAAAATGCAAAGATGATCAACATGGCAAGTTCTCTTTGCTTAAAAAATTCAGAAAATTTGAAGACCCTATTTGGAGAAATATCCCCTGAAATAAACCAATTTTCACAGTTTTTGACTGTTATCTTTAAAACTATGAGACCCAGGTTAAAATATAAATTGCAAAAAGGATCAACATATATCTACCCTGAAAAATTGGAGAAAAATCCCACAACCTGTTTTGGAGTTATCCCTTGAAATATCTATTTTGATCAATTATTGCAGTTTTTGGCAGAAATCTTGAATATTATAGGAGCAAGTTTAAAAATGTAAATTGCAAAAATGATCAGCACAACAAGATAGATCTACCCTGAAAATTGGAGAAAAACCCAACAACCCCATACAATTTTGACCAATTCATCTACTATGTTTTATACTCAAGAAAATCTGACAACCTGTTTTTGAGATGTTGCCCCTTAAATGTCAATTTTTACAGTTTTTTTTTTTTGTGTCAAGAAAGTATTAGGCCAAAAAGAATATATGTGATTCCCAGATGACCCTTTTTAAACCCTGACCATAGCACTGTTTTTCCCTTTCTGATAAAATAGCGCCCATCTACTTTCAATTAGTTGTGTTACCTGAGGAGAAAGATGTAAAAATGTAAAAAAGTATATCATAAAACCATGGTTAAAATGATCCTTTAATTAATGTTTGTTGTTTGACATTTATTGCAGTATTAACTTTCCATTTCCTTCCTAGTTGTGTGTCAAAAATGATTACCTGTGTGCTCCTGTATATTCAGACCATCATGGCCTAGTTTCTCCAAGTTTAATATTCAGTCTAATTTAATTGCATTACTTTCTATATATATTATATAATTGATAAAATGTTAAAATTTGTGTATTTACTTTTGTTGACAACCCTTTGCCTTTTGGCAGGAAATCAGGGTAAAACGCCTATTAACCGACAAAGAATGTATTTGATTTTTTATAGACATTAAACAATTTCATCATGACAAACACCAGAGATAGGAGTGTCATTAAAATTTTTATGAAGAATAATTACTATCTGGGAAAAAAAGTGAAACAAGTATCGTGAAGAATCATACACTAAGATGTTTTAAGTGAATATAAAAAAAAAAAACCTCCGGACCCTACTTTTATTTGGCCTTATGGTCATACACCATCATAGAAATCAGTAACTTTTACAAATATAGGTTGGTCCTTTTTAACAACAAGTCAACAATTAATAGGCATTATAAACTATATCTATTTGATATGAACGAAAAATGTACAAGAATTGCAAAGGGCTGTACTTATGATATTTATGTCCAGAAAATATCTGGTTTACACTTTAACAGATATCCTAATATAGTTTTTCAGCTCCTCTAGTTAAGGTCAATCAGTTGTAAAATGAACGATGTCACAGATTTGTGTATACATTTTGAACACGTTGAGCTTTATCTATTGTGTCTTTTGATAGCTGTCTCGTTCATATTTATCCCAAATTATGAAACTTAAAAATTTATGTAACTGTTTTATTTGCTAACTGTAAAATGTTATATTTTCTGAGATTTCAGATTTCCTTATAAATCAAGGGGATATAAGTGACATTGTCTAAATCGCTTTTTTTTTTTTTTTATAAAGGGGAAATTTTTAATTTTCATAAATATTTACATGTTTAGCTAGATCAAAATTTCTGTTTTAATGATTTCAAACAATTATTGGGGAACCAGCTTCATTTTTGGCATCACCATCATTCAAAGTGGAGTTCTTTTTTAAGTTCAACATGATGAAATTTTTATATAAATCTATGACATCACTAATTTGCTGTACTATAACCTTTGAACTATCATATTCTTAGATTCATCATCTATTTGTATTATTTAAGATTGTATATGTTTTCTGCAGTGATTTTAATGTGTCTTTTAAAATATCACAGAAAGGCTTATATTTTTTTTTATATTTTAGTCTCTAGGGAAGGAAGTATCTATACCAAAGGTACCTACACCTACATCCTCACCATATCAAAGTCCGCCAGCTAGTAAACCTACCTCACCAAGTCATATTCCTCATAGTTATGGCAAGGTCATCACAGAAAATGTAGGTAAGTCAACTAGAAAACTTACATCACCAAGTCAACTAGTAAACTTACCTCACCAAGTCATATGCCTCATAGTTATGGTTAGGTCATCACAGAAAATGTAGGTAAGTCAACTATTAAACTTACCTCACCAAGTCATATTCCTCATAGTTAGGGCAAGACCATCACAGAAAATGTAGGTAAGTAGCTAGTGAACCTACCTCACCAATTCATATTCCTCATAGTTATAGCAAGGTCATCACAGAAAATGTAGGTAAGTAGCTAGTGAACTTACCTCACCAAGTCATATTTCTGCTAGTTATGGCAAGGTCATCACAGAAAATGTAGGTAAGTCAACTAGTAAACTTACATCACCAATTCATATTCCTCATAGTTATGGCAAGGTCATCACAGATAATGTAAGTAAGTCAACAAGTAAACTTACCTCTCCAAGTCATATTCCTCATAGTTATGGCAAGGTCATCACAGAAAATGTAAGTCAGTCAACAAGTAAACTTACCTCTCCAAGTCATATTCCTCATAGTTATGGCAAGGTCATCACAGAAAATGTAAGTAAGTCATCTAGTAAACTCTCCTCACCAAGTCATATTCCTCATAGTTATGGCAAGATCATCATAGAAAATATAGGTAAGTCAACTAGTAAACCTTCCTCACAAAGTCATATTCCTCATAGTTATGGCAAGGTCATCACAGAAAAAGTTTGTTAGTCAATCACCTATCTGATGAAGTCATTTTCCTCCTAGCAAAGGTTGAGTCATTACAAAAAAAGTTGGTAAGTCAGCCAGTAAACTTACTTCTCCAAGTCATATTTTTCTTTATCATAGAAAAGTTATCACAGAAAATGTTGGTAAGTCAAACAGATATCATACTTCATCAACTCAGAATAGTTCTTATGATTGCTAAGTGTCTTTTGGGGTTATTCAACCAAAAATTTACCTCACCAAGTATTATTCCTCCTAGCAAATACAAGGTCATTACACAAAATGTTTGTAAGTCAATCAGTATACCTCCAAAACTAAGTCATAATCCTCTTTAGTATGGTAAAGTCATCACAAAATATATTGGTTAGTTAAACAATAAACCTACCTCATATGTTGAATAAATAAGTGAATCTACCTCACAATGTTATGTTCCAAACAGGATTTGTCAAGGTCATCACTGAAAATGTGAATTACCTGATTAAGAAGATATCTAAAACTGGTGTAAGGCCTGTTTCAAGGCCTTCAAGATGGAACAATAGGTCACACCTAACTGTGACTAAGATCACGAAGGTCATTTATAGCAATTTGTGTCGTGAATTTATACAATATACACCATATCCCTTCTTTTTTATACCCCACGCAACGAGTTGCGGAGGGTATAATGTTTTTGACCCGTCCGTCTGTCCGTCAGTCCGTCAGTCCTGTTTCTTGTCATCGCAACTCCTCTCAAACCACACAACAGAATTTCACGAAACCTTTTTAGATAATAAGGACATACTATGTTGTTGTGCATATTGACAGGAAATTGCGATTCAATTTTTTTTCTAGGAGTTACGCCCCTTTGAACTTATTTACTTTAATGTACTACTGCAACAGTTTGTCATTGCAACTCCTCTGATACCACACAACAGAATTTCATGAAACCTTTTTAGATAATAAGGACATACTATGTAGATGTGCATATCGACAGGAAATTACGGTTATATTTTTTTTCTAGGAGTTACGCCCCTTTGAACTTAATTGCTTCAATGTACTATGCAACAGTTTGTCATCGCAACTCCTCTGATACCACACAAAAGAATTTCATGAAACCTTTTTAGATAATAAGGACATACTATGTAGATGTGCATATCGACTGGAAATTACGGTTCAATTTTTTTCTAGGAGTTACGCCCCTTTGAACTTATTTACTTTAATGTATTACTGCAACAGTTTGTCATCGCAACTCCTCTGATACCACACAACAGAATTTCATGAAACCTTTTTAGATAATAAGGACATACTATGTAGATGTGCATATCGACAGGAAATTACGGTTCAATTTTTTTTCTAGGAGTTACACCCCTTTGAACTTATTTGCTTCAATGTACTACTGCAACAGTTTGTCATCACAACTCCTCTGAAACCACACAATAGAATTTCATGAAACTTTGTAGATAATGAGGTCATACTATGTAGATGTGCATATCGACAGGAAATTATGATTCAATATTTTTTCTAGGAGTTACGCCCCTTTGAACTTATTTGCTTCAATGTCTTCTGCAACAGTTTTTCATCGCAACTCCTCTGAAACCACACAACATAATTTCATGAAACTTTGTAGATAATAAGGACATACTATTTAGATGTGCATATTGACAGGAAATTATGATTCAATTTTTTTTTCTTACACATATTTTATTTCTCCAATGACAATGTGAGGACGTGGGGTATGTGAGGTTCTTTAATTTAATTAGGTTTACAACTGTAAATAAATTTTTAACCTGTTTGTTTCTGTTTCACAACATTAAAGTAGGAAATTTTTAGATATTTTGCAAAAAAAAGCATCTGACTTATAACGTATAAGAATATATAAAAACTATAAATTTTCCAGGAGGAAGACGGTTTTATGCTTTATATAGCCACGAACCAAACTTCTCCAATGAACTACAATTAGATGTGGGAGATGTTGTTATTGGTATTGAGAGAGATATGAATGGTTGGATGAAAGGAAGGAAGAAAACATCTGAAGAAATTGGAATGTTCCCTGCTATATATGTACAAGAAATCTCACAGGTACTGAATAAAGTACAAGTAGTAAAGAATTCACTGAACAAAGACCATATCAGCTGTACCGAAGGCCATGTCAATACTAGTGCAAATTCATTGTCATCTTGTATAAGAGAGGCACAAGATACCAAAGGGATATTCAAACTCATAAGTCGATGACAAACTGACAACTCCATGGCAAAAAAAGAAAAAAATGATCAAAAGTCAAAGCAACATGAACCCCACCAGAAAAACCAGGGGTGATCTCAGGTGCTTCGGAAGATATGTTCATGTTTCTTTATTCATGTATAAACTTTTATTTCAGTACCCTTTTCTCAAATCATTGGCCCATTTATTACCAATATTAGCATAAATAACTTGATAACTTTTGTCAACAAAACTATATTTCACTTCCAACAATATGTTTTTAACTTTGATTGATAGTTTGAAATATTTATACTAAATTTTTAAATATATGAATATCCATATAGAAAGAGTATAACTAAAAAGTACTGACAAACCACATGCATCTGAACTGTTGACAGTTAACCCTAACATCTAAAAGATGAACTTCATCCACAAGGAAAACAGCAAGATCTGATATGTTTAAAGTTAGTCCCAGATTGCTCTGATGTCTGACTGCCTTATAGGGGACTTGCTTGGGCCTTGGGATGTCAGAGCATGGCCCATATAGAAAACATGGAAATTGTTGACTCAGATTTTGAGCAGCAAATTCTGTATGCAAATCATTATTGATCCATTATCTAGCAGATAAACCTGAAATCATTTGTTCCTCCTCAAGCAGATAAACTTTATATCATTAGTTTCCTTGTCAAGCAGATAAATCTTATATCATTTTTTTTCTTTCTTGTTAAGCAGATAAATCTTATATCATTTGTTTCATTATTTATTTTGTTGCACAAATATTTACATTTTCTTCAGCGAGCAACCCATCTGTGGTACGAAGTGAAGCTTTGTTTGCACCATCCCTCACTCAATCTAGGACTGGTTCCAAGTACCAAAATTTGTTGTGATTTTTTTTAATTTCTCCTACTGCTTCAGATTGTAATTTGTTTATCATTGTACAGAATGAAGAGCCATTGGGGTATAAAGACAAACAGAGTGTATATGATCAGCTACCAGTGTGTAACAATGATCTGAGTACAGCTGAATACATTGGAGTGGGTAAGCTGGTTTTCTAAGAGGGAGAATTAGTAGATTCTAATATTTTATATTTTATGTTGCCTTGCAAAAGGTTTAAGGTATTTAGTTTTAGTAGATCATTTGCAGAAAAAGTTTGAAAAAACAACCCTCTGTAAGAGTTACTATGAACAGTTGGTAGGTATTAAGTCAAATAAACAATATGAAAATTAAATATTTTTTTTACAACAAACACATTTTGAAAAGTTAGGCTGAAGTTTTTGACCATTTTATGGTATGGGTATTAGTGAATGGAGAAATTAAAACAATATCTGTTAAAGAATTGAAGAAAAAAAATATACAGCATAAAAATAATTATTCAAATATTGGTATATATAAAGTCAAACCAAACAACTTTAAATGAAATAAATATAACTTTCTGTTTCTGAAAGTTAGGCTAAATTTTTTGGACTATTTTGCTATGTAGATATAAATGACAGGGCAATTTTTTTTAACTATGTGTTAAACAATTTGAAATGCACTGATATTCTCTATTTTACAGAGCATACAGCTGTCTGTCCCTATGCTGCAGAAAATGAGACAGATTTGTCCTTTGACATTGGTGACACCATTATAGTATGTCAGACATTAGACAATGGATGGTGGTATGGTTGCTATGATGACCAGTTTGGCTGGTTTCCTGGCTCATATGTTGAGGTGAGGTTTCATTTAATTCTAATTTTGAAAACATTGGAATTTCATAATTTCATACATTATAGAACTTTAATTTGTAGAATTTTTTATATAGTTCTTTACTGTAGACAATAAATATTTATTGATATTTATTGAACTTTTTCCAACAAATATAAAAAAAAAAAAGAGCATTTTATTTAAATGCTGAAATTAGAAACAAACTGGTGAAATTTTTCTGTCTGATTACAAAGTAATGTGTTAAAACATGTTGAATCTACAGTATGGCAACAATTGTTTATTATTTTAATTGTTTTGTATGAAAATTAACTTACCCTTAATTTACCCTTTTTAGATTATTGTTTTTAAATATGTCTAAAAAGTCAATGCATTTTTGTTATAATAAAGTGTTTAGTAGTATATTTATTTACCTAGAAACTGAAATATTTAACACTTTTTTTGCTGATATTTCCTTGTTATATCCTTGCTTCCTAAAGTTAATTTTCTTTTTTTTCATTTATCCAGCACTAACATGTGAAGTTCAATAAAAATAGGGTCTGATTTTGTGAATTTTTGTCTAGTTTGAGAGTTTCTTTTTATCCAAGATTATCAAATTTCCAGTATATGGGAACAATTTACTGAAATACAAAAGCAGAAATCTATCCCATTTATTACACCGAAATGATTGAATATATGAAAGTACAAAGCAAGTTTACTGTACTGAAAGAAAAAGCAGTAAAGTACCTTTGAAAAATATTTTTGTGGAACACCAAAAACAGTTTGAAGAAGCATGATTTTGGGATAATTTTCAAATCAATGCCTCTGTTTTATTGGTTTATTATCCCTTAATTTTGAGGAAGATAAAGATTTATGTGGCCAAAAAGTAATTTTACATGAATATCTATACATACATTCAACTTTACTCTAATTTAAGAAATGAGTGTAAAAATGTTTTAAATCAAATTTTGTTACCTTAAGAAGATATAATTCCTTATATTTACAGGCTATTAGACAAGACCAGGTGATTTTGTGTTCTCACAGTGTTTTTAGTTTTCTACCTCTGTTGTAGAGGTTAATGTTAACAGTTGTGTCCCTTTGATAGGGGATGATCTTTTTGTTTAGTTCACTGCATGCTTTTTGTTGTGTATGTAATACATGATGCATATTGTAACATAAGATCAAATACCATACGACAATGTTTATTTCAGACTCAAAAGGTTCATATTAAGTATATATGATACAAAATATTCTGTAGAAACAGGATACTATGTTAAAACATTTTCAGTATTACTTAATTATAGTTAAAAATTTAAATATAGCTCATTGTACCATACTCTTAACAATGTTGAAGAATACAATAAATCACTTCTGAGAAATGTATTGACTAATTGATTTTCTGATACTTTCAAGCGATTTAACAAACTAAACTTTGACTTTTGCATAACTTCCTTGAAGGAAGGACATAACTTCATTTACAACAAACTTATTACTTGCACTTCATCTATTATAATGTTTTCAGTCAATCCTGAAGCTTTTAAAGCAAATTTTTTTTATTAACATCACTTAAAGAAGAACTGTTTGAGCTGAACTGGAAGAGTTTTTGATATTTTAAAAATAATTTTATTAGCCTGGAGATAATGTGATGTGATTGTTTGCCATTTCATGATACATTGAAATGAGAAATCAGGACTTTCTAGATAGACAAGTGCAACAGATCACCCAAACCACAAAACTCCTCCTAGAAAATAAATAGACTTACAAGCAATAGCCATGGACACTAGCAAACTTAGGACAAAAACCAGTTGTTCAATAGATGTTGATAGGTTCTCAAAAGTGGATGATTTGAAAAATCTTCAGGGAATTTTTATTGTAATTAGAAAACACTGAATCAAAAGTCCCTATTCAGATCTAAATTATGATTCCCATTCAACGAACCTTTAAGTCTGAATGAAAATAATTCAGTTCTTAAAAGTTAAACTTATGTTCTTGAATCTTGATTATTGAAAAAAAGAGTTTGATAGTTATGTCAGTGCCAAATTGTCTGAGAAATAAGTTTCAGATTTAAAACTAAAACATTATTGCATTCATATTGTATCTTCTGACTTGGATGATAAAGTTCTTTGGGAAAAATTTAACCATTTAGTTTTGATAGTTAGTTACAAATGACTGAAACATCTAATTTCCAAATTAAATGGGTGGGTGTGGTTGTTATAATTGTCAGATTATGAAATTACCATGAAGATTTTAATAGAATACAAAGAACAGCAGTGTTAGTAAATAAGAATATTAAACCATTAATTTCATTAAAACATTTAATGGTTAACCAGAAATTATAATTTGCTTTAAAGCAACAAGACTAAATTAATGTGATTTCAGAATTTTATCCATGAGTTTATTATTGTGAAACTTTTATGAGCATCAAGAGTACAAGACAACAGTAGCATTTGTGTGGAGTTAATACCAAAAATGGATATTTTTGAAATCTCAAGAAGAGATTTTATATGAATTTATAGGGTTAAATATACTTACCATGATATTTACTATTATAAATATAGAATATTCCGCATTTTAGTATGTTCTCAATCACAAAAAACATCGAGGAGACCGAGATTTAAAACATCCGGTGAGGTATGAAATCTACTCACCTCAAATCAAGGTAAGTTCAGTGTTATATGGCATTTAATTGGACAACCAAAATACACCAAAAAACAGAAATTTATACCGGGGTGGTGGCGGATTCTGGTAATATACCGTACCACCATTCTTAAAGTTTGAGCTCTGAGATATGCTGCAACTACTGATATGATTTTTGTAAAAATTCTTGGAGCACATGTTGGCCCAAAGCACATTGTTTTCCATTGATAACATTGGTTTTGAACTACTGTCTGTGTGACTAAAATATTGGAACATGGAGATACGCATCTGACAGATCGAGAGATTTGGCTCCATCGTTCAGTTTAACCAAGTTTATTACCTTTTGCAGAGTGTCCATTTTGAAATGAATTTTCTTAAGATAACGATTTAGGGGTTTCAAATTTGTCACCATTCTTAACTTCCCCTTTTTCTTGGGGACTAGAAATAATGTTCTGTAAAAACCGTTTAGACAAAGGGGATACTGAACTTTTTCTATTACATTTTTTCTAGCAAAGTATCTATTTCTTGCATAAAAATACCCAAATTGTCTGTTTGTACAATTGTCTTTTTTATCCCCGTCCAAAGAGGCTTTTGTATAGATTCCAGTTTGTAACCTTCTCTTACAATTGAGAGAACCCACTGATCTGATGTTATTTTCTCCCAATTTTGAAATAAATCTTTAATCGACCCCCCTACTGGTATATATAGACACATCATTAAACTTACTTCTGAGTCAGCAATCCTTTCTCTTGGGGATCTGAAAAGAACCCCAGGATGACTGTGTAGTACTCTTGCCAGACTTTAAGCCGGTCTTGTTTGCATACTGTCCAACCTGTCGTGAGACTGGTTCTGTCTTATCTTTTGAAAATGCTGTGCTGGTTTCCTATAGTTGGAAACAGTACTAGCAGCATTTACATTTGCTCTTTCATAAACATTCTTATGTTCATTTGACCAGTTGGAATACCTGACAACCTTAGTGTTACCTTTTTCACGAGAATCCTTCTCAAACTTCCTTTTCTTTGTGAACTCTGGCAAAAGATCAGAAAGCTGGTCTTTCTGTTCTTTACGCCTTTCCAAAGACCTTTCAAGTCCTTTACCAAATAACCCATCATGTGTGAGTGGAAGATATTGGCACTTACTGCGCATATCTTTTAAATCATTCAAGCCAGAATCTTGAGCTGCTGCTTTACGGCGTATCAAATGACAGAAAGCACCTTTGCAACCCGATTGATCAAGAGTCTTTGTCGACATAGCAAAAACATCCTTTATTGTCTGACAAACACTGTCTTTGTAATAATCCTCACCTTCTAGAGTTTGCAATAAGGAACCTAGAGCCTGCTGAATATATAAAACAGAATAACATTCATTCTGGCACTTAAGGATGTTCGCTCCTCCTGTTTTTGAATTTTTGCCAGATATTCGGAATCCTCTGGTTTTGTCCATGTAGAGCCATTAAAAATTTTGCCCACTAACCCCTACTTTTCTTTCCATAATTTGATTACATATAGGTCAAAATGTCATCTTTGAAAATCTTATAAAATCCTTGTTATTTTTTCATCAATTTTGAAAGAAAAAAGGTGCTAATGTTAAATGTATGAAAAATCTAGAGAGAAGTATTTCCCGCCAAATTTTCAATGGCTTATATCTCGAAAACAAGCACACGGACCCTTCACTTCTTTCTGCTTTTTTAGTTCCTTTATTTATATACTATCAATTTATAACAGTCTTTTAAAAAGCTTGTTATTTTAAGATAGAGTAGCGAACATCCTTAAGTGACCTTTGAGTGCTAATTTCTCAGCCTGTTTGAGAGGTTGTGTAAAAAGTTTTCTCGACTGCACTATCATGAATTGGAAAACAATTTTTATAGTCCTCTATATTTAAGCAGAAATTCTGTCTGGGTTATTTGAACTCCCAAGAATTTTCTAAAATGTCAACCTACGCTTTGTCTAAAACCAAACTAATATTGCATCTCTTTTTAGCAATATCCTCCTTAAATATTTTGGTTAGAAAGTTTACATTATTGGTCGTCTGCCCTTGATCAGACTTATCATGCTCATTAGAAAGAGAAATACCACCATGTACATTTGAATTTTGTACAGTGACATGTTTTATAAACCGTTCACATTTACGATTATTGACATATCAAATTCTTCAGTGTTCTTTTTAACTGGACTACCTCCAGACACACTTTCTTCATCTGACCTTATATCCAGATCATTTCTTTCACATTGCTGAACGTGTAAAGATATTTCTGACCTTTGTGTCAATATCTACGTTCCTAGAAACCCTTGGTGACCCCAAATCTTGGTCCAAGTCTGGTTCTAATGATATGACTGGCCTACGCTCCCATGATGGGAGGTTACCCAATACATTGCATTCAGATCTGGTCAAAAATTCCCTATTCTGATTGCTAGAGGCAAACAACTCAAAAAAAATTTCAAATTTATGATTAAAGTTCTCAAGAGTATGGAGTTTTTTTTATCATATTCAGCCTGCATGTTAGCTGATTTTGAAGCCCTAGTAGCCTTTTTACCTTCTGACTTCTTCTCTGGTTCCATATTTGTCCTAGCACTGACCTTGCTGGGCTGTGACAAGGAACGTTTTTCTTTCAACGGTACCGACTCTTCGTATATATGTATCGAGTCATTCTGCTTTTCCGTCTCATCCATGTTAATGAATAACGATAGATACAACAATCTTATAAATAACTAACTAAATAATTTTAGATTTTGATGAGAACACCCGTTCAATTGAACACAAAAAACAAAACTAAACATATTTGATTCAAGGTGAGTAAATTTTATACATCACCGGTCTCCTTGATGTATTTTGCGATTGAGAACATACTAAAACGCGGAATATTCTATATTTATAATAGTAAATATCATGGTAATTATATTTAACCCTATAATTTAAATTCATATAAAATTATAATGCATTGTTTTGCATAAATAAATAGTCTTATTTATTTCTGAATAAGCAATAAATGATAGCTGTTTAAGTAAAGTACATACAATCTATAAGAATGTTCATGTAAAACCTAGTGTACAATTTTTTTTCTGACAATAGGCATCTATGTCATGTGTCTGGTGGATAGTTGTTTTATTTGCAATATAAATACCTAATCTCCAATTTTATATTGTAGATCTTGGTTCAATCTAATCTAATTATTGAATAAATAGTAAATGACATGCATTTAAAAGCATTTTAAGTAGAATTCAACAAGTTTGGAGCATGAATTGAGATTGATTAGGCACAATTTTGTAGTGAGATTAGCATTGATGTTAGGGAACTTTTTATATTGTGTCTGTTTGTATTGCTCCATAGCAAATGTAATTTTTTTTTTAATGTGAAACAACATGTCTGAAAAAAAACCCACAGAGGTACATAGAACTGGCATAGTGTTTTGAGAATATATTTACTGGATTTCAAGACTGAAGTTTCCAAGGAAAGATAAAAATATTATCAGGGACTATTGCATTGAACCCGAGCGGGTAACATGGATATGAACAGGAGCACTGCAGTATCCATAACATAATTAAGTACTATATAGTACACTTTTTCTTTTCTTTTATTTTGTATCACATTAATCCTATTGTTTGATTTGATAAAATCAGTATCAGTACATTTCATTTATGTTTTCAGATGGCTGCAGATGAGATAGATGGACCAGTTTCAAGGGATGTAACTCAAGAAGAGGAGATAACCCATGATGATATACCAGACAAAATTGTGATTCATGACACACCTTTAGAAACTACAATTGACAAGGATATAGCAGCTTTATCACCCATTAAACCGCTTGGTGGTCATAGATCTGAGGATGAAATCTCTCAAAAATCTACAGAGTCTCTGGACCAAAAGGCAAAAGTCTCAAATGGTTTATCAAAAGACTCTCCTAACAAAAGGAGTAAACTGCCAAAGTCTGTGAGGCCATCAAGGCCTGCTCCACCTCCCCCTATTCAACATCATTCAACACCTGAATCAAAAACAAACTTAATGGATAAATTTAATAAAACTAAGATAAATAATAGTGTAAACAAAAACAATAGTCAGATTGGAAAACCAGAAGTGCCAAAAAGATATATAAAGCCAAAATTACGTAAAGTGCCTAAAATAAAAACAAAAGCTGGTAATGAATCTGAATTGTGTAGAAGAAAGGTTAGGTCACCACCTCCTCCTCGGCCTGACCCTCCAAAATTATTGAAAGAAAAGTATATGATTCGTCAGGAAAAAGCCAACAGTGTTTATCCAGATTTAAGAGATGTTAATTCTACTCCAAATGTATCCCTGACAGATGTTGATACTAGTAATACAAAATATGCAAATGAAACAAGAAACGAATCACAAAATATAAACAATGAAAGTGCAATTTTACCAGATGATACTCAAAATGTGACTAGTTTCTTAGAGAATACTGCAACAACTGACACAAGTATAGGTAAAATGTCAGGATTAACAAGTTTGTCTAGTAGTGTACAAGGGGACAGAACTCATGATCAGTCTGAACTGACAAGTGTGTCTGCGATCAATATGTCTGATATGAATGATTCTAGACAGTTAGTTAACCGACAGAATTCTATGGACAATAGTCAGTCAGACGAAAGAAGTGCTACAATAGGAAATCAAAATGTAATTTGTGAGCCTTCTGTGGAACATAGTGCTGCCAATAAAGTAATAAATGGTGATATATTAGATCATCAGAATGCTGGTAATCAAAAACCTGCTCAAAAATCTGACAGTCGATTACCTTGTAAACTGCCTCAACCAAAATCACATAGTATGAGGGATGACTCTCCAAAACCAACTTTAATTCCAAAATCACAAAGTTTGAGAAGTGATGGACCAAAGCCTCCTCCAGTGGCTCCAAAACCAAATAAAAATCACCTTAACTCTCAATATGATGGGGAACCAGGCTATAGTGAGGTTGGGACCAGTTTGGTAGGTGAAGATGTAGCAGATGGCCCAGATAAAATCAACTTTTACCAAAGGCCACTGAGCCCAATTTATAGTAAAATAGACAAAAAGTACATTGTGCCAAATCAAAAGAACTCTGTGAATTCAAAAGATAGGAGTTTTGATGATCCTGAGTTGAATAATGAACAAAAACTTACAAATGAGATTATTGATAATAAAGAAACTGGAATTGATAATCATATACAGGAAAATGGTTTGAAAAATGCTCATATAATTGACGATAGTGATCAAAAGATGGCTGTTATTTCTGGATCATTGAGTTGTGATGCTACAGAAAAAAATTCTATATCGGGTCCACAAAATGTTTCAGAAAACAGACAATCACAAGACAATGGTCCCAAAACTTCTTCAATTCCTGGACCGGCACATTCATATCAGAGAAATATTCCAAAAAGATTGACTAGTCCTGCTGTTAAAAACAAACAATTACATGGAAATACTTCTATTCCTAAGCCAAACTTTAGTCCAACCTCAAAAACTCATATTGAAAATGTTGAGGAAAATGAAAACGAAAATAAATCAAAACCTGAAAGACCATCAAGACCACCAAATGTTGTGAGGCATAGTAGTATGACTAGTCCCTCTCCAAGCAGACTGCCAAAAGTCGAAAAATCAAAAAGCTTGTTATCAGATTCACCAAATATGAGTAGAAAATTTCAGAGACAAAAAACTGCCAAAGATAGCAGTAAAATTCCAAGTGCTATACCTAAAAGTCCCAAACAGAAAGCCCCAAATCCCATGGGCTCATCACGAACTGCTTCCAGTCCTTCAAGACTTCCACGGAAAGCTATGAATGGAATAGTTAGTCCCAAGCCAAAGAGACCACCTCCTCCAAAGACTCCTCCAGCTTCACCAGTGACTGACAGCCCAACAGCTATTACCTTCAGTCCAGATTACAGCAGTAATCACATACAAGAAGATGGTCACCTACAGATCAATGACACAGACAACAGGTTGGTTGAAATTAATGATTGTTAATGATTGCCATACACTAGGAACTAAAATCATGACTGTCCAGCACACAGGCAATGATATTTTATTTAAAACTAGCTCTAAGTGGCAGCCAGTCTTTTGCACCCAATTTCTTAGAATTTAAGTGACTTCCATTCATATATTTTTAAACACAAGGTCAATCAATGCATATTGAACAATGCTTTAGAGTCCATGTTGACATAGAGTATCCCTATCACATTTGATACCACTCAACAAGTTATAAATAAAAGTTTAGGTTAAAGGTTTTCAATGAATTGTTTCAATATTTGCTGTTAACCTCAACTTATCTTGGGTAGTACAGTACATTACTTCTAGTGGAATAGCTTTGTCAGATTCTTGTGAATGAAGCATGGACATAGGATCTGTATTTTAATCAGATTGGAATGTAAATTGGTCTCAATATGAAAATGAGGAGATGAGGTACACATTGTATCTGAGACGACTTGTCCTGTCATTTTGTATAACTTGTTTCTGCTTTATAAAATGAAATACTTTATGATGACACTCAGATTTGAATAAATCAGATGATTTGAGGTAACTTTCAATAAGACAGTTACCCAACACAAAAAACATTCCTGTTTTTTGTCGAGCCTTCGACTTTTGTTGAAAAGCGAGACATAGCGATCCTACATTCCGTCGGCGTCGGTGGCTTCCACAAATATTCACTCTGTGTTAAAGTTTTTGAAATTTTAATAACTTTCTTAAACTATCCTGGATTTCTACCAAACTTGGACAGAAGCTTGTTTATGATCATAAGATAGTATCCAGAAGTAAATTTTGTAAAAAAAAAATCCTTTTTTTTCCACATTTTACTTATAAATGGACTTAATTTTTCTGCCAGGAAACATTACATTCACTCTGTGGTTAAAGTTTTTAAAATTTTAATAACTTTCTCAAACTATCCTGGATTTCTACCAAACTTGGACAGAAGCTTGTTTATGATCATAAGATAGTATCCAGAAGTAAATTTAAAAAAAAAAAATACTTGTTTTTCCGTATTTTACTTATAAATGGACTTAGTTTTTCTGCCAGGAAACATTACATTCACTCTGTGGTTAAAGTTTTTAAAATTTTAATAACTTTTTTAAACTATTCTGGATTTGTACCAAACATGGACAGAAGTTTGTTTATGATCAAAAGCTAGTATCTAGAAGGAAATTTTTATTAAAATTTTGTACTTGTTTATCCATATTTTACTTATAAATGGACTTAGTTTTTCTTCCAGTTAACATTACATACAGTCTGCAGTTAAATTTTTTAAAATTTTTATTAGATTCATAAACTATCCTGGATTTTTACCAAACTTGGACAGACAATTACAAATTTTTTAACTACTGTATTATTTATCTTTCAATTTTAACCTGTTTTTATCCTTAACAAATATAATCTTTCTGGACATTTGAACCCCTTAAAGCTTTACAAAAACATACTTTAATATGATAAGAGGGAGACAACTCTTGTCAGTTATTTTGACTTATTTTATAGAAAACTTCCTGATTCTACTTGTCCACATTCTTTTTCTGTGTCACATATCCAATGGGGATTTTAGGTATGAATCTGTATATAAACTATAATTATCAGACTGACTTTTTTATTTTGTCCTTGTTAATCCACTTAACTTAGGGTTGAGCACTCACACTTATGTTAACTCCGCCACATTCTTTATGCGCATGTCCCAAGTCAGCGTCTCTTTTCACAAAAATTCTTACAATTAAAACTGATCGTAAGTTAAACTGAAATGTGTATGACTTACAAGTATTTTTATTCTTAAGATTTTTTGTGAAAAGAGATACAGGAGCCTGTAATTCAGTGGTTGTCGTTAGTTCATGTCTGTCATGATTTTTTTTCATGAATTGTATTGTAATAAATTAGGCCATCAGTTTGAACTGTTTCTCATTTTACAAGTCTGAGCCTTTTATAACTTACTATATGGTATGGGTTTTTCTCATTGTTGAGGGCTGTACGGTGACCCATAATTGCTTATATCTATGCCATTTGAATTCTGGTGGACAGTTGTCTCATTGGCAATCATACCACATCTCCTTATTTTTATATAGTATAACAGATATGCCAGAAAAGATTCACTGTTACAGAAGTAGTTTATTTTATATTTTGGTCTAGATAATACAATTGTGTTTTTAAATTGTCAGTTTTTAAATAAGATTTCAGTAATTTATGTAGACCGAATATTGGGAAGTTTTAAAAAATTGCAGATTTATTGCATCAAGCATTTTAGCAATGTTACCTATCTAGAGTTAACTTTTTTCTACTGAATAATCAAATTATTTTTATGTTTTATTTATTTATTGAAAAACTGTCGCCTGTCAACTTTGCCTCACATGTTTGGAAAATCAGTTTTTGTAAGATTGCAAAATTGTATACATGTAATATACCACTGCCATGGCTAAAGATAAAGTCCTAATTATGAAAGAATATGACAAAAGTGTGTGATTTTTTTTTAATAATAATTGGCATGTAGTTGTACATTTAATTTCAATGTGTTTCAATAGTTTATATAATGACAGTAATATCACATGGAAGTTTTTGCAGAATGAACCTTGCAAAATCTGTTTTGACAGCTCGTTAGAAAATCTTTTGCCTCTAACCAATTACAAATGTATTGAAAAATACTGAAATATTTTTTATTATATTCCTGTAATTTTAATTTTGTACAGTTTAGCATTATTTTCAGCAGCACCTTTGAATCCACTGCCAATCCATAAATAGTTTGATTCATCAAATTTCATGCTGATTGGATATTCAATTTCTAAGCCTTTCAGTGATTGGTGTAAAATTTGATAACCATCAATGTTAAGCATATGGAATGCATTGTTAGCTGAATCTAACACTATGATTTTTGCGAATTCTGTAACTACTACATCAGAAGGAAGGAATTGTCTTGGGCTGAAACTTGGATGTAGGTCACTGTATCTCCATTTTATATTGCCATACTTAGTGAGTGCTACAACTGTCCCAGAGTATTCACTTTTTCTGTCAATCACATAAATCCTACCCTGATGTGATGTTATTCGCCATGGAAATGTAAATAGTGCTTCATTTTTTTCGGTATATTCAAAAATATTACATAATTTTCCATCAGGTAAGATTGAAACCACTTGACGAGATCTATTATATGATAGTTTAAAGTTTGCTCCAATTTCAGCAAGCCCTATCCAGATGATTGAATCATTGTCTTTCTCACAATGAATGCACAAAGGTTCCATGGTGAAATGTTTGGGTAGTGATGATATCTGAGTTTTATTGTGCTTGTTTTTCCTCACTAGTTTTATAGAGTTGTCAATTCTGCATGTTAGATACATATCCCCAATTGAATTAACAGCTAGGTCAGCTGGTTCTAATCCTCTAAATTCATCGATATGCCTCAGTCTGTTGGTAAATAGTGTTGGTGTTAGACTAATTTTATAAATATCTCCTTCATAATAACAAATGAATGCTTCATCTTTATTTACCATTTCTATACTGTTTATTGCTGGTAACTTTGTTGCGAATGTTTTAATGACTTTAAATTCTACTGTTCTCGTCATAAATAAAGATCCTGCTCCGGCTGAATGCCAGACTGGGGGCAGACTGCCATCCTCCTCTGGGTAATCTACAAGTAGAAAACCTGAATCATCAGAAGACATTCTCCTCATTAATTTCCTTTTACTTTTTTCTCCACTGGTAAAATTCTCTTGTAAAAAATTATCTATATCAATAATTCTATGATATGAGTGGCTTTCAGCAGAGCAATCTTCACAAATCAGAAATTTGCAAGTTTGACAAAAAGATGAATACTTTTTGGTGTCATGTTCCTTGCAAGGCATTTTCCTGATTTCATATTCTGTTTGATTGTTTGTAGTGATGATGTCAATAGACAAAACAGTGTGACTTGAATTTGATGGAAAATTAGAATGACAATCCTTGCATTTTTCACATATTGAAACTTTACATTCCATGCATCGATACTTCAGATTCTTTCTCGTATAACATACAGCACAAGATAATGACACTTGTGAATCAAGTCTATGCATTTTGAAATGTCTGTCACTACTCAGGTTTCACATATAAATGCAAACACATATCTTATGTATTCATCGCAAAAATTATTAGAATGTTTGCTAAAATGAACTTTCTGTTCTTATATGGTAAAGTATTGTACAAGGATTATAAATATTTATTTGAAGAGATTACTTGATTTTTCATTAAACATTTCCTTGTGACACACTTTAAGGTTTTCTTCTAGTTTCCTGATTGATTAAGTTATGATAAGTCTTGATTTACAGTTTGTGGTTTAAAAGTGCAGGTTTTGGGATCAGACATAAGAAATCCATTTTAAATAAGTTTATTTGAATGTCAAATCCGGGGTCAGATCTAGAGTTTGTGGAAAGAGGGCATAATGGTAAAAAAGCACACAAATATAACAACTTTTTGCCAGAAAATGATGCTTTTTTATTTTATTAAATGTGGGGTTGTGGGTGTATGCATGCCCTCTAAATCCATCACTGAAAACTTAACTAAAAACTTCTGAAAAATAGGGAAGACGTTACTGGAAATCCTTTTAGCCATTTTTAATTGCCCAGTATTGATGATACAGTCATATTCCTTTTATCTGTTATAAAATGAGCATATTCTCCCCTCTATTTTGATCATCTTCATTTTATTTTTAATAAAAAAAGATTATAGAAACCATGTTGTGCATATTTCAGACAAAATGCAGGAAGTTTACTGAAAAAGGCCATCACATCTTACACTGCTCAGAATGAAGATGAATTGTCTTTCCAAGAAGGAAGCTTTATCCAGGAAATTAGTCAGGTGCTGATATAATTGTTATTTTGTTTTAATTGACAGCTGCATATATATGGATATATATATGGACCATTGCTATACAATACAAAAAGTTTATCAAAAAAACTGAATAAGGACACAAAATTAATCATATTTAAAATATGGCAAATCCTTGTTAACATACTGTGGATTCATTTATTTTCGTGGGTATCAATTTTTGTGGATTGAGGAAATCTTGCATTTTCGTGGATATTTAATTTCGTGGTTTTGCCAAAGTCTGCATACAAACCAATGGAAAATTTGTAAATAGTTGAACATTTGAATTCGTGGTTTACCAGTATCCACGAAATCTACGAAAATTGGTATTCCACGAATAATAATGAATCCACAGTACACTTTTTTATTACATCAATGAAAATTCTTCCATCCGTTCATCTCATTTTTTTAGCTCAGCTGGCACACAGGGCCATTGTAAGCTTTTCCCATCACTTGGTGTATGTCATCATCATACGTTAACTTTTTCAAACATCTTCTCTGAAACTGCTGATCCAAATTTAACCAAACTTGGCCATAATGATCATGGGGTATCTAGTTTTGAAAAAAAAAGTGTCAGATCACCTTGCCTGCTAAACAACATGACTAACATAGCTTAAAATAGAACATCTGGGTAAAATGCAAGTTTTGTCTTTTTTATTGTAACCACTATAAATAGAGAAAATCTGACACAGCTTTAATGTCCAAAATGTTGAGATCTACTTACTGTCTATTTACACCAAAACTGTCAGACTAATTCATGTGTTATTACCCTCAATTGACGAATTTTACCAATTTTTAAAATTTTGGCTTACTATCTTGAAAACTATAACAGATAGTTAGAAATTTTAAAAGCTAAAATGATCAACAAGACAAGATTTACAAGAAGGTCAACATGGCAGAAATCTATAGTTCACTTCTTACTATAATTATCGTACTTTTAATGACAATTTGTTTGCATTTTTGCCTTTATCAGGAAAGCTATAATAGACATGATAGATAGATAACAACTTCAAAAAACAAAAAATGATAACAAGACAAGATCTACCTATAAGTCAATAACTCAATATTGCAGAATTGCCAGTCGACTCCTTATTGGAGTTATTGCCCTGAAATGATTAATTTTTTTATGCCCATGCCATAGTCATAGGGGGCATTAATGTTACCCTTGACGGTCTGTCTGTCTTTCCATATGAAAATCAAACAATTTTTTTCATTACCTAAAAACTTCTTTCCATTAATAACTATATTTTGCAGTTATGCTCAAAGCCAAAAGTCTTCAAAGTTTAAGAAAAAATATGAAATCATTAGAAGCCCAAAAATAATGATCTAAACACAATATTGAAACTGCTTGTGGTTATTTTAGGAATTATACAGTTAGAGAAGAGACATGAGTTAGATGTAAATGTTAGTTAGTTATAAAAATATCATGATTTTGGTTTTTATAACTTAATGATTACCGGGTAATCAACTCAGAATGTTCATATCATACTCATGTTTTTTAAGTGTGTACTTACTTACTTACAAATGTAACAACACCCATTGTATGACGTCAGGGAACTAGTGAAACCAGATTTATTTCACATGTGATATAATCAGTTTTATTTTACTTAGAAATCAAGGTATTTCATTGCAACCAATGTAATATAATTATTTATATTATCATTACAGGATGATGAAAGTGGTATATGTGTAGGGATGTTACCCAATGGTGACACAGGCTTGTATCACAGAAGTTTTGTAGAAGATTCCTGCCATGAACAACAAAGTGTTGTGTGAATTACATTGTAATAATATGTTTAGTCAGTTTTGATTTAACAACAAAGTGTTGTGTGAATTACATTGTAATAATATGTGTTTAGTCAGTATTGATCAAATCAATCTTGTTATCACTTTTATTGTTGGATATGATCTGCTAATAGTTTTATTCTTTTCTCAGTTTTTTTTGTTAGATGAATCATTTTAAATTGGTGCAAAACAGAAATCCACTTGCTTTATGTAGTCTTTCAGATTCAAATTCTACTCGTTATTATGAATTTCTACATTCAACAATTAAATTACCATATATAAAAAGTATACAAATCATGATTTCAATTTTTTTAAAGTATTCTTTCACATGGAATCTTGGCATCAGTTTTAAATTTATCATGTACAAGGATGAAATATTATTGGTAGATTAAAACCTCCATGAGCTAATAATAAAATCTTTGTTAGATTTAAACTCACCATTTACTATTTATAGAATCTTGACTTAGGTTTAAACCTGTCATGTACAAGGATGAAATCTTGATGTTAACTCTAAACTCTTAGATATTGATGGTAGGTTTAAACCTCTGTGAGCTAATGATTTCCACTCTTAGATATTGATTGTAGGATTTATTAACCTCCATGAGATGATGAAATCTTTAGGTTAGATTTAAACTCACCATGAACTTTTGGTGGAACCTTGACGTCAGTTAGAATTCAATACTTAGATATTGATTGTAAGTTAAAACTCAGCTAGTTATATCATGAAATAATGATAGTAGGTTTCAACTCACATCATACTGCAATGAATTTAAGTGCTCATTATTTTTTGTCCTTAATACAGTATCTGCCATATACAATACTTTCAATGCAATATTTATACTAAGTCAGGTTTTTTGTGCAATATTATAAGTCACATAACTACAAGTCAACAACAATTCAGTTGTCATATTGTGTTAGTTATATTATTTTTAGTTTTAATATTTAATTTTATTTAATAAAAAACAAACATTTTATATTATGTACTTGTCACAATTAGTTCTTGTCTCTTGCTTTGTTATGTTAGAGTATAGATTATTTTTATTTTAAAGATTTGTATTTGTATATATATATATATTTGAAAGAATATGATGCCATTACTTTAAGTTATATCAGTCATAATATCTTATCTTTCAGTTTTGTTTTATGTGCAATGTTACAAATTAATCAATTTCAATAATTAGCTTTGACATTTCCGATTGCAAATTAAATCATGTTCTAAAATTCTCATTTCTCATAGAGAAACACACCAAAACCTATATTTGAATTTGATTTCTATAAAAATGTTCAAATTTTTATAGAAAATATTAAGTTACTTTAGAATAGCTGACCACAGTGAAATCAGTGTGTTAAAGACAAAATGCAATATATTTTTTCTTAGATTAAGAAAGAAAAAATGCACATTAAATTATCAAAAACAAGTTGTTCTTCAGGTATTTTTTTTTAGCAATTTCCAAAGGGCCAAACTAAATAGATTATGCAATGTATATGTGCCACAAATTTTAACAATTCTTATTTTAATTGTTTTGTTGAGTGTGTTGAATTCCGTCAGTATTGTAAGTTTGAAGTTCTTAAATTTGAAAAGAAAACCACACCTCATTCTGTGACACCATTTCAACAAAAAATCTTCCAAGGGAAGATAACTGTTAATATTCTCTGTATAAGATCAAGATTAGTAATGAAAAGACTGTATTTTCCATTTAGGAAAGATGAAAAGGATCAATGGAATTTTTAAACCAATATTATTAATAATATGGTTGTTTAAAATAATATTGGAAGAGTATATAGGTAAAACAATATATATGTGTGTTAATGGTTACATCCATTTTAAAAAAGGATCAGTTGCAATGAAAATTATCAAATTTGGTAGTTATGATGGAAATTTATATGTGAAGGATTTGAATAAATGTTGACAACTCAGACATTCAGAATTATAATGATCAGTCATTTTGTTATTTGTCATCAGCTTTTCATGAATGCATTTAGCCAGTTTCATGTAAATACCTATTAGATAATAAAAATGATATTTTGAAATATCCTGTTCGACATATGTCCTTCCTACATATCAAAGTTTTCCCTGAAGTTTCATTGGACTTGTCAACTTTGAGTTGTACCTGTGTTTTAAACATCTTGCAAATATCAGGATGAAGACAATTTACAGTGTAACCTGCTATAAGTGTCAACATCTATTAAGGATGTACACCTCTGAGGAGCCAAAAATTTCTAGAATTAAACTTTTTTTCTTAACCTGATTTTTGGGTTTATATGACTAAAAAAGTTATTGATGAAGAAAAAATCATATGGTGGTGCACTACTTTTTTGCTACGGCCATTTGAAAGTACCCCATTTATATGATTTTCCCATTTTTCATTAATTTTTACCCATTTATGGGCTATTATCATGAAAAAAAATCCCAGTTTCACAATTAAACTTTTTTTCATACTTTCACTAAAGATGAAGTGGACCAATCTGATTAAATTTAACTTAAAAAAACTATAGGTAGGTGTTAATATAAGAAAGTTTTATAAAATTTTGTTGCTTTTTCGTGTCAAAATAACCATGCTGTAAATTTTGTAAATTTGTGATTTTTCTCCTTTTTTTTAGAACAAAAAGCATATTATATCAACTTCTTTGTTATGAATGATTGAAAAATACATATCTAAGAATTTTGAAAAGAAAAATTGATTTGGGATGTACATAATTTTGGTAAATCATTTCTTTGTACACTTCACCCATTTTCTCAAACTTTTGGCTGATGGCACTGACCCGATTGCTTATAAAAATAGAAAATGTTATTACTCAAAAACTACTTATTGTAAGTACCCAATTTTTTCACATAGTTTAGTTTGATTAAAATATTCTTTAAATTCATTGATATTTTCCACTTGTATCACATGGTTTAGAAATAATTCCAGAACGAGATTTCAACGAGACTGAAACATCAGAATACATCCCGAAGTGAAAACCTGACCATCTACTTATCCAGGTGTAGTAATAGATATGCATTTTGAACCTCTACTCAAAGGGCACCTCTCTTTTAACGTCACATTTTTTTTTTTGGTCCCTAGGATTAGGATGAACTTTTCGTACAAGATGGACTGTTCTTGATGGTTTTCCAATTTTCAAGCTAATAGTAATCATCGCTTATTTTCCTTAGTTCACAATAAAACTTAGCATCTATCGAGTAACCATATACACACATAATACATATGTTTGACTTATTGATAAGTTTTCAGCTATTAGCAAAAATTTAAAGATTGAAGTAAAAATAATTAATTTATCATCCCAAATAAACTGTAAGTCATTGTCTTTACTAATTTGTGTATTTAAAAATCAGAATATGATCTTGATAGTAGGTAATCGTCCTTCTTTTTTCATACTAGAAAAATATTGTTAGAGGTATATTGCTACCTAACATTGGATAAAATATACATTTATGTTGACTTTTCAGAAATGGCGTTGATTTCCAAAGTGCCATTAAACATGACTGCCACTGTTCCTGAAATTAGAAAAGTGGATATAAAGATCAATAAAAACATTCTAAAAGTTTCAGTTAAGGACCAATTAATATTCAACTTTTTAGAAATGATAAAAAACAGATAAAGATAATTTAGTTAACTTTTAAAAAGAAAGATTTTTTTTAATGTTTATATTAGATTATATAAAATTGTCTACAAATTTCTATATTTTATTATTTCAAATACAGTCAGATTTTTGGATTTCCTCTTAACAGCAATACCAACTTAAACAAGACCTAAACTACCACTTGTATGTGTGGTTTCAATATAATATCAAATTTTGAAGCTGGCCTTTTGAGAACATAATTTTAAATCAGTTTATATTTTGAGCCGGTAAGAGCTATAGGCTCCTCATAGATAACTACTATAAAATCAAAAATGTTTGCAATGATTTTATAATAGGATCAGTTTCACATAAATAAAAACACAATTATAAATGAGCTGCATCGGATAGAAATCGACCTTATACAAAGGAATATCAATTCATCTGTTAACCTATTTCAAATTGAAAAATCTTTATGCAAAGTCTGTTACTATTTGAAAATAGAGTTGATATAAGAACCCTACAAAACAGACCTACATTAGTCTTTTATTTCGTATTTGAATGTTCCAAAATCAATAAAAGTCTGATACATGTACATGTATACCTGCACTTGCTTAAGGTTGATTTCTATCCAACGCAGCTCAAATTTTGATAGCATTATTTGTATGCACCTTTTTAGCTCACCGGGGCCCGAAGGGCTCCATGTGAGCTTATGCCATCACTTGGCGTCCGTCGGCTGTCGTCGTCGTCGGCTGTTGTCGTAAACTATTTCAAAAATCTTCTCCTCTGAAACTACTGGGCCAAATACCTTCAAACTTTAACTAAATGTTCTTTACGGTATCTTGTTTATAAATTGTATCAGAAGTTTGTATCGTTCGATAAACATGGCCACCATGGCTAAAAATAGAACATAAGGGTCAAATGCAGTTTTTGGCTTATATCTCAAAAACTAAATCTTTTAGAGCAAATGTGACATGAGGTAAAATTGTTTAATTGGTCAAGATCTATCGGCCCTGAAATTTTCAGACGAATCGAACAACCTATTGTTGGGTTGCTGCCACCGAATTGGTAGTTTTAACAAAATTTTGCAGTTTTTTGTTATTATTTTGAATATTATTATAGATATATATATAAACTGTAAGCAGCAATAATGTTCAGCAAAGTAAGATCTACAAAAAAGTTAATATGACCAAAATTGTCAATTGACCCCTTAAGGAGTTATTGCCCTTTAAAGACAATTTTACACAATTTGTTCATCAAGTTTGCTAACATTTAAAAATCTTCTCTGAAATACAAGTGAGCGATTCAGGCTCTTGAGAGCCTCTTGTCCTATTATCACAATACTAAATCTCACATTCCTTTCTGTTGTTCAACAATCACAATGATAGAGCAGGCATAAATTTCTGAATTTGTAGTATTTCTAATGGCGCATTTACTACATTTAATTGATAATAATATTAGTTGTCAACAATTCAGCCTTAGTTAAAAATGATACTCTTATCTCTCAAAATAATCTAATAATTTCACCAAATGTTTTGCATTTATAGTTCAACTACTTGGTGTTAAACTAAACAATGACAAAGTGAAAAGGATAGTTACTTATGTATTATTTAAGATCTGATTTTCTTGTTGCATGATATAAATTTCAGTTGGATTTTTGTCCACATTTCATTAAAATGAGGTCACAATTTATGCTCAAAATATTAGTTATGGTGATTTGTTTCATATACAAATATGCAAGCAGAAGTTTTTTCTTGCAGTACTTATGTGTTTACAAAATATTTTAGTCTGACTTGTGTCTGTTCATACTTATTGCTGACAGAGTTTGCAAATTTTGTCAGATTTTATTTGTCCTTTTTTCCCATAATGCAAATTTTCAGTTATAGTATTTATCTAAAACTTGGAAGACTATCATCATTCTAGCCACACCATTCCTGAAAAAATGTCAAAATAAACCAAAAAACTGTTGTCAGTAATTTCGGTGTACAACATTACTGGTTCCTCTGATCTTAATGCAATGAAGTTTTTATATGACCCCAAATTTACGGGAAGGTTTAGTCATTGTTATCTTCATTGTTCTTTAGCAATGTTTTGTCCCTCAAAATTACTTTAGATGTAGTTGATAATTCCTTGTTAAATTTGAACTTTATGTTCATTGGCTCTACCCATTTCTGAAAAATAGACAATGGAGAAACATAAAAGGTACTATGAATGTTTTCATTATAAAAACCTGTCACTGAAATGTGTTTATATATTTTCACATTTACAGAAAAATTGCAAAAAAAATGCTCTATTGCTTTGTAAATTTTAATTTTCCATATGATTTCAATGATTTTTTCCCTCAGGTTCCTCTAATGAGCTTAAGAATGTACAAAGTGGTTTTGTATAGCTCTTAGTGTTATAAAGCTTTAAATGACAAAAGGGACCAACATTTGCTCTTTTCTTTGGTCCCAAAATTACCATGTTTAACTATTAGTGTTTCAAGCAAAATGATTCCCTTTGATTTACATGTGGTTATTTTCCTGTATCAATGTTGTGGTTGGTTGTTTAATGCTGTGCTCAGCATAGGCTTTTCTTTTTGTTGTATTCTTAATATAAAAAAAGATCCCTATATGTTGTTTTGCAACAAATTTGACATTGTTTTTAGTTTCCAAATTACAAGAGGCCCAGCTGTAGTTATCCTAAAGAAATCCTGCTTGCATTTATATAAAAATCGATTAAAAGATGTCTCCTGTGGGATTATGAGAAACAACGGGAAGAGGGTTCTTAAAATTACGTTCCCTTATAGCCAAAATGATGTTTTCTTTTAGATACAGGTCTGATTTGTATGCATTTTTATGTGGCAATTGTTAGCAAATTTCTTAAGCTCTTTTCATTTCCAAGGTATGTTTCCAGTTAATGTGCACTTGTTTGTTCCCCTTAATATTTAAATGTAATACCCCCATTTTAGGAGTGGAACCTATATTGTATATACCTTGTCAAACTACTAGTATCTTTTCATGACAAATATTTCCAGCAAACTTTTCTCATTTACTTCTGAACAGAATGACTATATATGGTCAGCAGCTTGGCAGTGATGAGTTGAACCTATGAGATTTTTTCTATCTGTCTGACACCCTCTTCCTGTTTTCCTATACCTTGAATTACAATGCGAGTATGCTTAACATGCAAAAGCATGCCACTTTCTTGTTTTACTTCCCTTGTCAGTATGGCACAGTCATATCATGTTGCATCTGGTGAGGCCTTTTATCCGTCATTTGTTTTTATCACATTTTAAGATGAAACATCAATTTTAATAAATAACTGAATTTGCAATACCCTCTTTGATTACATTATTTGACAGATGTATATTTTATGAACATGTCAATGTTGCTAATTCATTATCACTAAGCATTATTACCTTGTGTCTATATATATGTATGCCTTTATTGTTTATTTTAGTTCATTGTTAGAGCCTTCAACTGTTTTATTATGGTGCTTTTCATAGATTTTATTTTTAAATGGAGTTTACATTATTAAAGTTCATATTGAATGATGTCTTGTTTCTCTGGTTAACTTTAACTGATACACTGCTGAAGACTTCAGAATATTGGGTATCTTGAATTTATCTGTGCCTTTTACAAGCTGGTGGAAGAATATTGAGTATCTTGAATGAATCTGTGCCTTCTACATGCTGATGGAAGAATACTGAGTAGCTTGAATTAATCTGTGCCTTCTACATGCTGATGGAAAAATACTGAGTATCTTGAATTAATCTGTGCCTTCTACATGCTGATGGAAAAATACTGAGTATCTTGAATTAATCTGTGCCTTCTACATGCTGATGGAAGAATACTGAGTATCTTGAATTAATCTGTGCCTTCTACATGCTGATGGAAGAATATTTGAATTAATCTGTGTCTTCTACATGCTGATTACTTATCCTAGTAAGCAGCCTATGATTACAGATTTACTCAGGTCTTTTTGTGAATATAGATGAGGAGTAAGCACTGTAAGTCAATGGTCAGCATTTAAAAGTTAACAGTCTCCTGAGTGAAACAATTTACTTTATTAAAATAAGAAGATGGGGGTATGATTGATACTTCACCACTCTTGATATTTATATCATTGTATATTTCCTATAAATGTCTATAAAGTCGTAAAGGAGAACAATGAAATGGAATAACCTTATAAATTTAGTTAAATACTTTAAAAGATTTGTTTTTGCATTTATCAAGGACAATAAAGTTCAAACCATAAAAACTTACTTATTCTCAATTAATTCATTTATAAAGTATGAACTTAAAGTTATATTTTCCATAAAATGGTCAAAGCTGTATTCAAATGCATATTACAAATTTATTGAAAATAAACTATTTTTTGAATATAAAGTTGTAAAGGGTCTTATTTGTTTAAATTTGATTAGTAGAATGATGCATCCATATTGTCAGATTTGTTTAGTTTATTGACGTAAACATTAAGATTAGAACAACTTTGATTTTATGGTATTTCTTTCCTTTTTATTAAGGATGTACACCTCTGAGGAGCCAAAAATTTCTAGAATTAAACTTTTTTTCTTAACCTGATTTTTGGGTTTACATGACTGTTAGAAAATAATTGATGAAGAAAAAATCATATGGTGGTGCACTTCTTTTTTTGCTACGGCCTTTTGAAAGTACCCCATTTTTAATGCTTTTCCCATTTTTATACGCCCGTTTACGGAAGGGATTATGGTATATCGTTGTCCTTCTGTCCGTCCGTCGTCAACATGTCGGACATTAACTCAAAAACGCTTTACCTAATTTGCATAAAACTTTGTTGAATTGTATATATCTATTGACGTGAGATCCCTTTCGTTTTTCATAAATTTTAGATTTTACGTTTCTGAGAAATTGGGTTTTATTCATTAAAAAAGGGGGGTTTTCCAGTTTTCGGACAATTACTCAAAAATGCTTTCTCCAATTTGCAAGAAACTTTGGTCAATTGTTTTTATCTTGACATGAGCTCCCTTTTGATTTTTATAAAGTTTAGATTTTGCGTCTCTGAGTTATGGGGGTTTTATTCATTAAAAAAAGGGGGATTTTTCAGTTTTCGGACAATAACTCAAAAATACTTTCAGCAGTTCTCATGAAACTTTGGTGAATTGTTGATATCTATTGATGTAAGCTCCCTTTTGATTTTTAGAAATTTTAGATTTAACGTTTCCGAGTTATGGGGTTTTATTCATTAAAAAAAGGGGGATTTTCCAGTTTCTGGACAATACCTTTAAAGTTCTTTGAGCAGTTTTCATTAAACTTTGGTGCCTGGTTTATATTTATTAAGATAACCTCCCTTTAGTTTTTCATAAATTTCTGATATGACATTGAGAAGTGATTTAATTGTTTATAGTCTGACAACAGATTTTCTTACTAAGTATTGGGCAACAGCACAGTGTATTGCACAACAGCAAGAAATCTTTAATTGAATATAAATTCAATTCGTATAACCAATTTCAAGTTCTTTGACTACATTTATTCAGAAACCTATAATATGTCAAATATTTAATTACAATCCAAATTCAGTCCTGTATCAAGCTTCAATATTGTGTCCATTTTTTCCCCAACTGTTCAGGGTTGGACCTCTGCGGGCGTATCCAGCTGCGCTCAGCGAAGCAGTTTATTCATCAATTTTTACCCATTTTTGAGCTATTATCATGAAAAAAATCAGTTTCACAATTAAAGTTTTTTTCATACTTTCCCTTAAGTGGACCAATCTGAATAAATTTAACTTAAAAAAACTATAGGTTGGTGTAGATATTAGAAAGTTTTATAAAATTTTGTTGCTTTTTTGAGTCATATTGACCATGCTGTCAATTTTGTAAATTTGGGATTTTTCTCTTTTTTTTTTAGAAAAAAGCATATCATTTCAACTTCTTTGTTATTAATGATTGAAAAAATACATATCTAAGAATTTTGAAAAGAAACAATTGATATGGGATGTACATATTTTTGGTAAAATCATTTCTTTGTACCCCTCACCCATTTTCTCAACATTTTGGCTGATGACTGGATTGGTTATAAAATTTGAATATTTTATTACTCAAAAACTACTTATTGTAAGTAGACAATTTTTTCACACAGTTTAGTTTGTTTATGATAATTTTTAGATTCATCAATGTTTTCAACTTGTATCACATGTTTTTGAAATAATTTCCGAACGTGATTTCAACGAGACTGAAACATCAGAAGGATACATCCTTAATCATTATGATATATTTAGTATCTCTTTACTAATAGTTTGTCCTGTTTTATTTGTTACTAATAACTTCCTGTATTTCTGATTTTATAACCCAGAGTTATTAAAAAATCCTAAAAGATTTTAAAATAAAAAGGAGACAACCCATTTTGCTTTAACAGCATTTTGATAATTTTCTATTATTTGCAGCATTAAATGTGAAGAAGATATTGAAGTTTTGGTTTAGTATATTATAAGATGACAATAAATTTAATAAAGTGGGGAAATTGAACATAATCCTTGACCAACACATTTTAAGTGAAAGGCACAACCCACTAAAAACTCACATAAGCAGTGTCATTTGTGTTCACAGGAAAAGAATTTTGGGTCAATCCTTGCGCGCTTTCCCAGTTTAGTCAATTTTTTACCAAAGTCTGCCTATTTTTAGCTAATAATCTGACAAATCTTCCTTGAACAATCATTTAAATGATGTCACAGTCACAATTCTGCATCAAGCATCAAAATGCAAGTATTCTGAAGTTTAAGATTCCACATGAAAAAACAATTATGGCCAAAAATAGAATATGGGGGTAAAATGCAAGCACTTGTCTAATATCTTGAAAATAGGCAAAGATAGAGATTATATGGCAATACAAAAATGCTCAGAATATCCAGATCAACTACCATCAATTTTAAACTAAAAAAGTTAGATAACTCCCTATTGGAGTTACTGTCCATAGCTGAAGATGTTTGACTAATTTTTGCATATTTGCTATCTGTATCTTTATATATTCTGCCAATATAGGCACACCTTCAGTACAGAGTAATAATATCCAATCACCAATAGAATTATAATTAAGTCTGTACACTATGTACAAGTATGTCAATATATTCCTTCACCAGTATCACAGATCAAGTCTTATTTATGAAATTTAAAATATATTTTCTTTTAAATAATAATAACTTACAGTCCACACACAACTACTACTTAGCTAAATTTGACTTTCTTAACATTTTCTGTCCTGTGTTTAGGAGCTTTTACCTTTGCATATGCAGGTTATATATAAGTGTTCTACAAGCAGGTTCAATATGCAAGCTAATAAAGCTACATAAATCACTAGTTTGAGTGCTGGCACAGAATTTCACATGGTAGTATGGGTTAATTATCACAAGGATTAAGTTTATATCCAAACAAATGTTAAATAGTTCTAACATTGTAAGACACTGCTCACGTACTAATTTAAGACGATTTTCTCTTTCCGGTTCTAGATGAGTACACGAGATAAGGAAATGTTCTATAGTCCTCTTTGTTATCAATTTTACAGGTGGCAGATACCTCACATTTGTTGAATTTGGTTCTATTAGATTGTAGTATGTAATTTCCTGTTGCAATTTTTGTTCTAATAGGTATTCTATTGATGTCTCTGCAGTTTGGGGTGTTTGTTGTAAGGATTGGATGGATTGCTTTTATCTTATAGGCACCTGCTATGTGTTGTAAACTTGAATAACCTTCAGAGTTGTTATTTTTCTTTTCACTCCAGTATGTATAAAGTTTCCTTGTAATTAGATTTTTTCATCGGAATTTTCCAAGAGGATATGTTAAGAATTTCTGACAGTCTGGCAAATCATACTTTAGGCATATTTTCTTTATTTCTATAAACCAGCTTTTACTTGTATGTGATTTTAGTTGTAGCTGTCTTTCTGCCAATCTCCATTCGACTGATGTTTTGTTAGCTCTAGTAATGTTTCCGAAAAGTGTTAAAGCTTTTAGGTGTATTTCAGCTTCAGTTGGTAGCATTCCGATTAATATGTATATGGCGGGGTCAGCTGTTTGTTGAGACAATGAGAGTATTTGTTTTATAATTTTCTTATGGAATTGGTGGATAGTATCAACAAAAATGCTGCCTGTCGGGAGTAGTATTTCCAAACCATAAGTCAGTATAGGCATTATATATATATTTAAAAGAGTTATTACTGTTTCAGGATCAAATCCATTCCTCCCATGTAAGCCGGCACCCATTAGGCTGTATAATGCGTCTTGCTTTCTTAATGTTTTCGTCTACAGTTAATGTTGCAGAATTTTTCTGACACTTTTGAATACCAATATGTGAGGAGTGTTCTACCACTGGCATAGGGTTATTGTTTATACTAAAATTGTCTTCTATTTCAATCGATTTGGATGAGGTGTTTATGGGTAATATTACGCTTTTTGTTGGTTGTAAAGTGTATCCCTCTCTCTTGCTAAAGTTGACAGCAATGTTTACTAGCATCTGAAGCTCTATTGGATTGTTTGCTATGATAGCAACATCATCAGCACATGTCGGAGCGCAGCAGCTAATATTGCCTATGTGTCCGCCTATTCCTGTGTCACATAAGAGGTTTAGTATAGGGTTTACGTACAACTTGTATAAGTCAGCACTTATGGTACCGCTTTAGCGTAAACCCTGTTCTATTTCAAAGACTTCTGAAGTTTTATTACTCCATTTTAAACAAGATGTTGCATTTTTGTAAAGGCTATCTATCAATATTATAGATTGATCAGAGATTCCAGTTTGATATAATCTCCTTATTAGATTCGAATGTACGACCACATCAAATGCCGATTTACCATCTAGTAAAGCTATGTATGTTGGTAGTTTTAGGTCTTTACTCTCACGCTCAAACTCTTCGATAATTAATTCACACAACAGAGGGGTGGTGTTCTCAGTACATCCGCTTTGTAATGGATTTTGTCTCTCAAGGATGATAGGGTTTTCCCGTATTTTTATTATCTTTTCAATTATTTTGGAGGATATAGGTGTGACTGTTATTCCTCTATAGTTTTTATCATACCTAGCATCACCCTTATTCTTGTATACAGGAAATAGTATACCAATTTTCAGAATGTCAGATATACAGCCTAGTTCAAAAGATTTGTAGTAGTTTTAAATATTGTTGTAATTGTTTACAACCATATATGATATTTTCGTCATTTATACCAAAATAGTAATCAGCTTTATTCCTATTTAACTTGATATTGCTTTTAAAATCTCTTCTTCTGCTATAGGACTATGCTTGAAACGATCTTGACCTTTGTCAATTATTATTTTAGCTTCTTTTTCAATTAGATCTAGATATTGAGTGTCGTAATTTTGATTTGGTTCGCTTTTTGCAAGTTTATAAAAGTGTGAACGCCAACCTTCTATGATGTCGTCATTGTGATATGTATTGTCATCTACGTTTAATTGATCTATAAATCTAGATAATTTTCCTCTTTGATTTTTTATAATTTTATAGAACATATTTCTGTCTGATGTTCTGGCATTAATCAGTTTCTGACGTTGACTTATTCTTCGTTAAGCTACCTCTAATCTGCATTCTTTACGTAGAATATGCGTTGTTAGTTTTTTCTTTTTCAGGTATATACTGTCTGATTCTTTCGGTCGTCCATTTATCTTCCAATCATAGAAAGCAAGTTTCTTCTTTTTGATGGCCTCTTTAATTGCGTCATTTTATCAAAAAATAGACAAAAACTGTATGCAGTAACAAATTATCATCAACACAATATCTACAATTAGGCCATTATGACTGAAATCGTCAATGCTCGCCTTAAAAGATTTATTGCCATAAAATGATGATTTTTATACGCACGTTTACAGAACGTATTATGGTATACCGTTGTCCGTCCGTCTGTCTGTCCGTCGTCAACATGTCGGACAATAACTCAAAAACGTTTATCCAATTTGCATGAAACTTTGGTGAATTGTTTATATCTATTGACGTGAGCCCCCTTTCGATTTTTATTAAATTTAGATTTAACGTTTCCAAGTTATAGGATTTTGTTTATTAAAATCACGGGATTTTCCAGTTTTCGGACAATAACTCAAAAATGCTTTGATTAGTTTTCGTGAAACTTTGGTGTATTGTTTATACCTATTGACGTAAGCTCCCTTTCCATTTTGATAAATTTTAGATATAACGTTTCTGAGTTATGGGATTTTATTCATAAAAAAGGGGGATTTTCCAGCCGGTTTTAGGACAATAACTCAAAAGTGCTTTGAGCAGTTTTTATGAAACTTTGGTGACTGTTTTATATATATTAAAATAACCTCCATTTAGTTTTTTTTATAAATTTCTGAAATGACATCGAGGAGTTATGGAACGAACTTTATTCTTTGAAAAAGCAACGGCGTATCATGCGCTCATTGCGCAGCTCTTTATAAACTATTATCTTGAAAACTATAGTAGACAACTAAAATTATTATCATTACAAGATTTGCAAACCTGGTCGATAGAATGAAATGTACACCTTATAGGAGTTATTGTCCTTATTACAATTTTTAGCCATTTTATTGTTGCATTTTTGGCTTTTATCCTGAAAGCTACTATTATATAGAGACAGAACCTGGAGTAATCAAAATTGATCAAATATGCAAAATCAAATGTCTGAAATCATCAATTGACATGTGCCTGTAAGAGATTGTATTGCCCTTGAATGACAGTTTATTCTGCAGCTCAACAGAGTCGGATATATAGGAATCCTCATGTCAGTCAAACGAAAAACGACGAAAATACAGTACACAAAACACAACATAGAAAACTGAAGACTGAGCAACACTTACTCTACCAAAAACCAGTGAAAAATCCTAGGTGCTGTGGAAGGGTAAGCAGATACTGCTCCACACGTGGCACCCGTCGTGTTGCTCGTGTTAGTACAAACCGCAGGGGCGGATCCAGCCATTTTTAAAAGAGGGGTCCCCATTCAAATGAGTTGATCGTCAAAATAAAATGGGTTCGAACCCACGGAGCCCTCCCCCCCCCCTGGATCCGCCGCTGAACCCGATGATGATTCTAATTCGGTGAGTAACATTTGAGGAAAAGAACACGGGTTTGAGGTTACGACAATAGGAACATATCCGTCGTCATCCATCTATTGCATTATGGTCAACCAACTTTTGATGGTGTCAGTAAAATTTTCAAAGGGATGATTTCAACTTCACCACTTGGAACTCTTGTTTCAAATCTTCCTGGTAAGCAGCAACCCTCTATCAAGCAAATCATGATAGGAAATGCAAGCTCTGAAATATATATATGCCGGCGCTACTGGAATTTTGCTTCATAGAAATGAAAAGATCACAATTGGGAAGCTGAAATCTTCTCTTTTGTCATTAAGTCTTGTTCTCAAGCGACCCTCTATCGTTGTCAATTTCTAAATGTAAGTCAAGATATGAGGCAGACTTAACTGAATCTGCTTTATCCTTTACTTCAAGTTCGATATGATATATTTACCAAACTTTGAATTATTTAGTGAGAGGACATCATTTATATAGCGTAAATAACGTAAAGTTGAAGGATGATGCTAGCTGCTTTCCATTCTAGAAGCTTCTATATGATGTAAGCCTCATGTGAATAAAGGAACAACTTGAAGTCGGCAAGAAGAGGAGCACGGTTTGTTCCTATGGAAATGACGATTGTTTGATGAAATTCACCTCCTCCAAACGTAACAAATATGTTGTCAATCAAGAAATCAAACATCTTGATGATTTCAGTTTCAGAGAATATTTTGTTTGAATCAGAGTGATTTTTTACAACGATTTATCCCTCCTTAAGACAAGATACTTGCATCTACGTTGGTTATTCTTTTTTTTTATAAAAACAAAGCAGGACCAATTCTTTCAATTTGTCTTTTTATTTGAAATGGAGAATACTTGTGTAAAGGGTAGAAAAGTCAAATGTTTTTTATACTATTGCAAGAGGAAAGCAACTTAGATTGTATGTACTCTAACGGAAAAAATAGTCACGTTAGAAAAATAAATCGGTTTACTGTATGAAACCTTTTTGCAGAAATTGTAAATTTGTATCAATTTACTGCTTTGCAGAATATTCCCCTTGCAATAACTAACCTCCAGCTGGGTATGAAATAAAATTACTATAGAAAATAATGTATTTGTGTACAGCATCTTGTTTTATGCCATTTGGAATAATATTCAATCCATCTCATTGAAAATTTTTATGTCAGTATCACAGGTAACCAGTTTTCGTTGTTTGAGATTATAATTCATTAACATAACACAGTCTTTTGTTGACTGTAGTTCTGATGTTGTCACCTTTTTACTATGTTTGCCATCTTGGGATACATGTTGTATTGATCTATCTGTGCAAACTACATACCAACTGCCATCTGCGAGTGTAGTCATTCTTTTTGGTTGAGATGGTAGTTTTTTGGTAAAAATTTTATCTCCTGAAAAGCTGAAGCAATTCAAATTATGGGCATAAAGATTGCATCCATAATTGAATATTTTCCCATTAGATACATGTATGAAGTTCGGATATTTGTCCATATCTATTGTCTGTATGATCTTTTCTGTTTGGTGGTCTATGATGAATAATAAAGTCTTACGTTCTTCACATTCATAACGTATTTTGTAACTTGCACCCACTACTAATCCATTATTAATCATGCTTGTAATGTAATGACACCATCCTGGTTGTGGCACTGGTATGTGTATTGATTTTATTTTTTCTTTTGAATTTATATCATAAATTTCTAGATACTGCTCAAACAAGGTAGCGATATAATTTCTGGATATGGCTGTAATACCTCTTGACTGTTCTTGGAGGTTTATAGTCTCTGATTTGAAATTTTCTGCATTACAAATTAAAAGTTTATTCAAGTTTGATGAACAAAAGAAAAGTCTTCCGTCATCCATCATTTGAACTCCACAAATTTCTGTGTTATTTCCAACTACAGCAGTATTGTCACATTTGTTGTGAAGGTAGAAAATGTGTTGTCCGTTCCCATATGGCTTTCTGTCCTTCTCTGGGAGGAAATACAAAAAAATGTGTATAAATATAATTAGCTTTCCTTTTATGTACCAAAAAAGATGTAGATTTACTGACATGATTTATACCAAATTATTCTAAAATTGCCCATTTAGAAATTCAGAAATTAAAAAGAAACTAAGGTTTAAACTCCTTAAAGCAAAGTTGACCTAATATAGAATTAATTATATTTTAGGTCCTTGGCACTGACATTCAGTACCTCGGTACTGACATGATTTATAGCAAACCTTTCTAGAATTGTCCGTTTATGAATTTAGAAATTATAAAGAAAGTAAGTGTTTAACTCCCTTTATTTGCATTTTTTTTTGTCAAATCTAGAGTAGATATAAAAAAAATTGTAAAGAGCAAAATTGTTCTGCAAATCTACCAACATGGCTAAAATTGTCAGTCTACACCTTTAAGGAATTATTGTCTATTAAGAATATAGTTTTACTCCATCTTTGCACGGTATGCAAAAATTATAATACATAAAGAAAATATTGTTCAACAAAAGAAACTACATTTAAAGGTTATAGCTCCTACATTATATAGAAACAATTTCGGCAATGTTGACTTATTTGTAGTTAAGGTGAGCGACACATGCTCTTTAGAGTCTCTCGTTTTCAATGTCTTTACAATGACAAATTAGAGGATAAGCCAACTACGTGGAACAGGAGAAATAAAAAAAGACTCATACCTTTCTGTACATGAGACAGTAACTTCTGAAAAAAAATTGAGAGTAATGCAAATAAATTTTAAAAATTTCAAATGATATGTTAAATAATTATTGTTTTGCATTTATTTGTCTGATACAAAGTGTACTGTAGAGTTTGCTTCTTCTGTTAAAATACCATTTCTCCCAGTGTTGATTGCAATAAAAAAGTGTGGTAAAATGTATAATGTGTGTATAACTTAAAACAAATATTACTGTATTAGTAATTAGAATAAGGGATAGGTTTGAACAGGATCTGCTTACCCTTCCACAGCACCTGAGATCACCCCCAGTTTTTGGTGGGATTCGTGTTGCTCAGTCTTTAGTTTTCTATGTTGTGTTTTGTGTACTGTTGTATGTTTGCCCTTTTACTTTTTTAGCCATGGCGTTGTCAGTTTATTTTCGACTTTTGAGTTTGAATGCCCGTTTGGTATCTGTCGCCTCTCTTTTGAAAAGATGTTATCTATACTTGCTCATCTCAAAAGTCAAATGATACCTGAATAGAGGAATTAATTCTCTGAGTTGCTTCTTCGTTGGATGTTCCAAGTCCTTGAACTGTTGTAACCATGTTGTGCATTGTTGTGTCTATGTTTTTCACTGAAGTGCCAACTTCTTGAATTGACGAATCCACTCCGTGCATTGCTGAATCAACATGTTCAACTGAAGTTTCAATTTGTTTAATAGTAGTATCCACTCTCTGGACTGAATTATCTAACTCTGTCATTGTTTTTTTCATTCCTTTGAAGGAGGTGTTTATCTTTAAAATAAATCTAATTGATACAATGATAGATTACAGACTTTAGTATGATAAGGTTTTTTTTCAAACATAGAATATATGTAGATATCCAAAGGGTTAATATGTATTATAATATTATGTAGTACATGTGGTTGTAATGGTCTTCAAATTTTATTCTATCTTTTGGCTATTGATATTTGGAAGATGGGTGCATTTCTCGAGATTAAAACCTTGTAGGTGGAAATTAACCTCTGACTTTGACCTAAAGGTAAAGAAAATGACAAAGGCTTTAGGTGTTTGAATATGGTTGCAATATATAAAGGCTTTGTGCCATCATACCTTTGTAGATGACCTATAATCTTGAGCTTTGACCTGAAGTTCAAACAATCGTTTCATTGTTGACATTTTTGTATATAGGGCAACAGCCCCACCACACACACCAAAGTATAAGTCCAGAACTAGAATGCATTTCCTTTGCGCTAGACTTACATTTTAGATAAATGGAAGACCTATGTTTTAGTTCACAAAAACAGTTATTCCAAAAAATATCAAATTAACCAAATTTGACATTTAAAGGTCGTCATATTGCTTTGTCTAATGACATTCAACTCTATATTTTTTAAAAATAAGGAGATGAGGTATGATAACCAATGAGACAACTATCCACCAAAAGTTCAAATAAAGTGGATGTAAGCAATTAAAGACAATCGTACCGCCTTCAACAATAAGAAAAACCCATATCGTATAGTCGGCTATAAAAGGCCCCGACATGAAAAATATGAAACAATTCAATTTACGAAAAAAAAATATGACAGACATGAACCAACGACAACCACTGAACTACAGTCTCCTGACAGGCACATAAAGAATTGGCGGGGTGAAGCATGTTTGTGAGCGCTCAACCCTCCCCAAACATGGGACAGTGATGTTAGCACAGCAAAAGAACAAGCTATAAAAATCAGTTGAAAAAAGCTTCACTCATCAGATCGATACAAAGCAGAAAACATCAAACATAAACACAGACCGGACGTGGCAGGGTATTTATCCATCCCTCATCCCTAACAACAAAAGGAACTAAGTACAGATCTAAGAGTACTCGAAGTACAGCTATATCAAAGCTAGTAACAACTAATAAAAAAACATGTATCTATGACTAAAATATCAATAAGTACACATCCAATATCCAATGGATTTAGTGTATAGACGTAATTAACAGTCAGAGAACAAACATGACCTTGTGCAATGTCAAAATAAAGGTATCGACAGATTGTAGTACCGTTAAAGTGCATATTTGTATAACAAAACTATTTAGTATGATTTTAATTTACTGATAACAAAAACAATATTTATACCAATAAAAACAATACTAATATTCAAAGATCTAATTACAGTGTTGAATTGGTAATTTTACCCGGATCGTATATTAATTTCATCACCATAAAATTTAGGATGTGCTATTCCGTCTGAAATAAGTTTTTTACAGTTACAGCCAAACTTGCTCTTTCAATTTTAGTTAATAGAACTTCTAAAATTGTTTTCACCTCATTCAGCTGCTCATGTGTATCCAGCAAAAATGTATAATATTTCTTGCATAATGGTTCATCCAAAGGTCTATTTTCAATCCTCTTTAATTCATCTTGCTTAGTGTTGTCCAGTTGCAGAACTTCTTTTTTCATATCTGCCCAAAGAATGTCATAGTCTGTCTTTGTTATTTGTCCTGTTGTGTTGTGACTGAATTTGGCATTCTTATGTTGACGTAATGTACGGATTGCATGATCTTCTCCTTGTGTCAGGTTACAACAGTTTAACAAAATGAGACCCGCAAAGGTGATATCAAGATCAGATATCTGAAGAGATTTTGCTGCATATTTACAGTGACACTGATTACAACATACTGGATTTTCTAAATACAAAAGGTCCCATTGGTTATTGTTTAGAGGGAGGAATCTTCTTTTTACACAATTAGCTTGGTCTTTACAACAAGAATTTTTAAATCTTAGATGAAATAATTTATGTTTTACTGGCTGACTGTCTAGAAATGACTGCAGAGATGCAAACCCACGATGTTGGTAATCTCTCTGCAGATGATTTTGGAATATTGGTGTTACTATCTCCAAAAATACAGAACCTACTACAAAGTAATGTTGACGGTCTTCTGAATCCATCCTATAATGAGAAGAAATGTAACAAATAGAATCATTATAAGTACTGCTCAAAAAGAAAATATTTTTTTTAAAGATCTAAAGAAATATTTCAACACCAGAAAATTCTCCATAGTGTTAAAATATTCATTTTCTACTTTTAAGCCCCCTTTGCTGCATACTGATACAGGTATAAAGATTATGAAGATGTGTTTAAATTTTGTTTTTCATTTTGAACTTTTTCACTTATGTTTCAAAGTTGTTTTTTTTAATGAGGCTGAATGAATTTATGCTCTACATAAACATTCGTTCTTTTGTAACCTTTTTATTTCAGCATTTTAGTAATATTCAGTATGGCCTTCATCATGTTCTTATACACTTTGTTGTATTTTATCTCAACTGGCCCTTATGGCCATGTGAGATTATATCTTTATTAGACATTTGTCATTTGTATTTCGTAAACTTTTTTATAGAATCTTCCAATCTGAAACCACTAATCTCCAAATGTTTGAAACTTGGCAGTACTGATGTTTGGCATGTCCTCTACAAGTTATCTTGAGCTTTTATCCGATCGGACGAACAACATGGCTGCCACAGCTAAAACTAGAACTGAGCATATGGTTGTACCTGTAAAATACTTGCAGAATATCACATCCTGATTTGACGACAATGTTGGTATTAGAGTTCATCAATTCAGATACAATTCATGTTAATTCATTGATCATTTGAATACACTTATTCTTAAAGGTTATTAATTTAACATCATAATCAGATATTTGAATATCTATTTTATGGGTACTAACAATGATTTATATTTGATAAATTAAAATATAACAAAAAATATCTTGCTTTAAATTGGGATAAACGTATTGTCCTACATCCTGTCAATACTATATACTTGTATTTTGGCATTACACAAGACCAAACATTTCTCAGACTGACATAAATCAGAATATTTTGGTGTAATGATATTTAACTGTTTTCATAAAAAAAAGGAGTGGTTAAGTTTTGGTATGTCAAATTTTGGCACTTTAGATATATAACGTTTTATATGCCCGTCGAAGGCAGGCTTTATTGTTTTATACCATTTTCCGTCCGTCCGTCCATCAGTTCTTCGTACGATAACTCAGATTTGCTTCAACCAATTCTCATGAGGCAATTTCAATATGCACAATCTGGGCGTATCTTGCGCTCTTGGCGCAGTTGTTTATTCAACTTTCCCGTAATGGAATTCATTGTACAATTAGTTTAATATAGAATCTAACATACATATTGTTTTGACACCTGAAATGGAACAAAATATCAAAACAACAAAGCAAATATCATTATGACAATCATTTGATAGGGTTGATGCAAAATTTAGAACATATCAATTGCAATTATTTGACAATAGAACTGAGAGAATATTAAATATAAAATTTCATCTGTTTGTTTTTTGTAATCATGTAAAAGGATCATAATACTGATACAAATTTGATGTGTTGACTCTACTAATAAGTGCGATTGATTTCTTTCTAATGCGATCAAATTAGATGATATAATATGAAGGATAACTTCATTGTTTGATCATTTTCGTTGCTAATAATGTTTCTCTAATTCTTCGTCAATTTATCCCTTTCTGCACCCATTGTATAAAAAAATTTAATCAACGTGTGGTTCGTTTGATCTCAGTCCATCATTGGTTAAAATCCAATTATGACGTCGAATTTTCTTGCTTTCCTCTGAATTTCCTATTGTGACGGCATGAAAAAAGGCGACCATGCCTGATGACGTCACATAGAAAGAACACATCTTTTTGCAGATCATTCGAAAAGAAGGAATAAATTTGCCTGCATATTGTTAGAAAATCATTAGAGAAACTGATTCCACCACCAAATCTCGTGTAATACGATATTTATCCACTCTCGACAGTTAAATTTTAAATATTTAAAACGCTCGGCGAGCCTCGCGTTTTAAATTTGAAAATTTAACTGTCTCGAGTGGATAAATATCGTATCACACTCGATGCAGTGGTAGAATCTATATTTATCTTGTGAACTCAACTCCCCTGGATCTATTTTACGTTATAAAAAAGGTTGAAAACAACACGTTTAATAATTTCATGCGTCAGATAATGCATATTTTAAGGTTTTTCTTGTCGTATAACGCACCAAGGGGTGTCAGGATTGTTCAAATGAAAGACCGACCGTAGGAAGGTCTTTCTTTGTGCAACCTGACACCCAAATGTGTGTTATATGACAAGAAAAACCTTAAAATATGCATTATCTGACTTATATACCGTCCAAAATTGTTAGTATCTGCAAAGATTTGCAGGACATTGTATCCCATTTTACCTATCACATTAAAGTGGGATATTCTTTTCTATAACTTTGTAAGGGAGGAAGGGTTATGTTTTTTCTCTCTGGTTTTATGACATTTGTACCACGAAAAAGCATTATCTGTGCAACAATTTAAAAGGAACGTATTCTCTTGTTTGCTTGACAATATATATATACAGTCTTTCTTAAAAAAAACGAGAGTCAGGATAGAATATTATATAATTCTATCTTATATAATTCTGCGCTAAAACTTGTTCTGGTACTAGTATTTCAACCTAATAAATGGAATAAAGGAGTATATATTATATTTAGAAAATTTGAAGATACCTATAGCTTTTGCTGAATAGATGAATGTCGTAGAGATGTCAACATTAAATCTTTTGAGATATAAACAATATCTTAACAAAACATGAATTGGTAATGATCCATGGTGAATACCCATATTGATTTTTAGATCAAAGGTCAATATCACAGTTTGTATAAATGGACTGACATTTGGACACAATTTTGGTTTCCTGATGTTATCTTTTGAACCATATGACCAGCTTTTACAATTTTTGTTTTGATAATGCACTATCAGACGAAGAAGACCCTTTTTAATTTTGAGTTCACTAGGTCATTAGCTAACGTAAGAGCGTTCAAATAGTTTATTGGAAAATTAGCAGTATGATGAAAAAAATATTGTTTTGATTTTGAAGCGATTGGCTCAAACTTCTAGGTCAAAGCAGCAATTGATAGAATGGGCAAAATTTTTGGTTGTCTTTTGAATCATATGTCCAATCATCAACAAGCTTAACTTGAAAATGCTACCTTTGAAAAACAAGACCATATTGACTTTTGGTAAGTGATTAAGGTCATATTACCTGAATAGACTGACATTTTGAGGAAAGTTTTGTTTGGATCAATATCTTTTGAGCCATACAGCAGATTTGTACCAATCATTGGTGGATGATAGTCAAGATAATAGCAACAATTAATCGATTATCGAAATTTGGAAATGTGTTTGGTTTTCCTTCATTTCACATAAACTGTCTGCAAAATCTAGTCTAAAATTATAATCAGATGAAAATAAAAATAGAACCCAACCAAAAAGCCTGTTTCTTCTACTTCATTTCATTAAAACTACAACCTGACTTATAGACAAATGAATCTTCTGTTATTTAGTGGTTTATACACTGTTATTTTGCTCTGAGTTTCTTGGTAGTTAAAAGATTGTCAACAATGTAGACATTTTACCTTCATGAGAAACTGTATGATGACCTAAATATGGATGAAATAAATATTAGATTGATGTCGCATTAAATGAGATAATCGATTCACATTTTCATATACCTAAAAATTTGATTAGATATTTAAAGAATTTTGTTTCTTGTTTTCATAACTTCCTTATTTTAAATCCATTTATACATAACGTGTGAACTGAAAGTTATTTTCCAATCAAATGGACAAAGGTCTTTTTCCATATTAGTATTGTTGTTATTAATCTCTGTTTTCGTATGCTTTGTTTTTATGATTCATGAACGCTGTATAAAAAAAACGTACAAACGTATATTATAAATCGATTAATTATGGTTTAAAAATAAATTAATAGGTGTTATCTATTTAAATTTGTTTAGTAGAAAGATAGACATACATATTGTCATATTTGTTTTCGTTTATTGCATGGTTTGTCTTAAATCAGGTCATTGGTTTACAATAACTTTTCATGCTGAAAATAAGTTGAAGGACATACTGAATAGAAAAAATCTGGCCGTCGGTTTTCTCTTTTGAAATATTTCACATTTCGTCATATCAGGGAATTTTATATAGCTGATTTACAGTATGGATAGTGCTCATTGTTGAAGGCAGTACGGTGACCAAAATTTTTTTTATTCCACACGTCATTTGCTCTCTATTGGAAATGCCTGTACCAAGTCAGGAATTTGACAGTTGTTTTCCATTCGTTTGATGTGATTGAGATTTTGATTTTTCTATTTGTTAAGGGACTTTCCGTTTTGAATTTTCCTTGGAATTAGGTATTTTTGTTATTTTACTTTTGTCTCTTTAATTTGCAATCATACGTAATATATATATTAAATGGTTCAACATTTGAAAATTTGAAAATTATGGTATCTTTATAGCATGGGTTTTTTTTAACAAAGGATAAAGTATGTGCAGTATTTTGGGTCACATTGGTCACCAAATTTAAATTTCTTTAATAATAACACTTTTTAAATCTTAAATATGAGTTTTTTTATAAAACATTGTCGTTTTTGGTAAAATTATCTGTTCGTAGGTTATACAGTTATGAAATGGAGAAAAATGCAGTAAAAAGGTGAAATAATGCAATATCTTTACTTTTTGACTGGTATATGTAGAGAAATCTCCTATGTTGTTGGTCATTTAGCTTGAAATAATATTTATCGCTTATAAAAGCTACCTTTCTAAAGTTGATAAAAAAAAATGAAAGTGATAATGATTTCAAACACTTCCTTATTTTCTGTAAATATGCATGTTCACATAGCTCAAATGTGCGTTCTCCTTTGTTCTAATCGTCCCTAATTTGAACCATGAAGATAATCATAAGTTGACCAAACTTGTATATATTTTTTACTTATCACTTGTTTATTACTTTTTTGTAATCCGTATGATATTATCTCTTTTACTTACAGTTCATCCGGTTTTATCTGTTAAAAATATCTTCCTGTATACAGTATCCGATAACCCAGAGTTACTGTAAAAGTTTAATATTTAAAAATGAAAAGAAGAAAACTCATTATGCTTTCTTGTTACAAATACAATTACAGCATGTTGACAATTTTGCACTAATTTATCATTTGCAGCATGAAATGTTCACAAAATATCGAAGTTTTAGTTTACTGTATTATAAGATATCATTTAAATTAAACAAATTTATTTCATTTTTAGAAATTTACCTGTGAAAATATAAACGTCACAAAAAAATACGTCACTTTTTGTGAAGTTGATGCATTCATCGAATCATGTGACTTGCAGTTTATATTTCGTTTAAGGTGTCCTGGTTTGTTTTACTAAATTCATGGGAGGTGTCCGTTGTTATTCTGCAGTTTACATGTTGTAATGTACTATTATATTATTTATTTATGTATTTCACTGTGCTGAGTGTTCTTGTGTTTGTACTTTATTCCTGTCCATTTTTGGTAATATCCTTTAGGCGTGGCTCGGTGCTTGTACATCCCGCCATTGTGTTGTTGTGCTGTGGTCTCTTTTTGTATTCTTGTGTTTCATTTTGGCGTATGTGCTTTGTCTATATGCCATTTTGTTTTTCTTTGTTGACATATTTGTTTGTTTTTATAGTGATTGAGATTATAATACAATGTTGACTGCTGTACCCCTATTTTTGACATTTTTACCTATTATGTCTGTTTGTTTTGTTTACACGTTGTTGTCAATATAATGGAATTTTATGCGACTGTCATACAAGTGAGAGGTTTAGCTAGCTTTAAAACCAGGTTTAATCCACCATTTTCTACATAAGGAAATGCCTATACCAAGTCAGGAATATGACAGTTGTTTTCCATTCGTTTGATGTGTTTGAGCTTTTGATTTTGCCAATTGTTAAGGGACTTTCCGTTTTGAAATTTTGGGGTTCGGTATTTTTGTCATTTTAGCTGTATTTTTAAAATTGCCATATAAGCGGGAGGTTTGGCTAGCTATAAAACCAGGTTCAACCCACCAGTTATTCTTGAAATGTCCTGTACCAAGTCAGGAACATGGTAGTTGCTATCACACAGTCCGTTTCTATGTATGTTGGCGTTTTCTTTAGTAGATCAGTGTTTCTGTTGTTCCGTTGTTTTCCTCTTATAGTTGATGTGTTTCCCTCGGTTTTAGTTTGTTCCCCGGGTTTGTTTTTGCTTAATCGAATTAAACTATTGAACAGCGGTATACTACTGTTTCTTTTATCTAATTCAGTAAAATGGTAAAATTTCACATAATCGTGACAATCTTGACATTTTGACAAGTAGTATGAGGCCCAACCGACTTAATAACATTCACATAAGCAGTATACATTTTGTCTTATTGACAGTCATCTGCTCTTTCATAGTTAAGCCAAAATATTACTAAACTCTGTCTAGTTTGTGTTGCTAAAAATCTTTTTTTTTCCTTATACCATGTATACCATCAATTTAGTAATGTCACAGACACATTCCTGCTTAAAGCCTAAGGAAAACCTTTATTGTGAAATGTTGGTTGTTCCGCATGCAAAAAAAAACAAAATCAGTATGTCTAAAAATGGAACACATTGGTAAAATACAAGGAATCGTGATATATCTTGAAAATAGGTATAGATAGAGATAATATGATGTACAAAATGCTCAGACCATTCAGATCTACATACCATCACCCTTGAACAAAATGGTCAGATAACTCCTTATTGGCGTTATTGTCCAGGTGGAAACCGAGTTGAAATAAAACAAAAGAAATGGAATTCTTTGTTAGAGAAGGCAAACAAGGCCAATTTGGTAAACTTGAATTGTTTACATCTGTTTCTATGGGCTTTAAAAGATTAATGAATGTGTCTTATTTAGGATTTTATGCGTCTTATGTATGTGTCTTTACTTAAATTGTGGTATGAAGCTTCGAGATATTTGTAAACTTTTAAATTATAGACAAGTTTTTACAAAACGGTCGATTGTGGTAGGTGCAAATACATGTGGATCTTCTTTGTGCATAAGCATAAATTTCGCCGAAAAACATTCCGAAGAAAGATAATAGATTGATCTTTTAAAGCATTAATTTGCATCTCTGCCCCCGGCGACAGTTTTTTGGCAAAAAAATCCCTAAAATGGGCAATAATTTCATCGAAAAGAGAAAGTCGAGTACACCTTTTTATGTTCAGACGTGTTTGAGTTGACTGTTCTGTCTTGAAAACGTATTAAAGAAAAATATTTGATACATCATCTCGCTTCAGATTCTATTATTTTTATATATTTAGGCTCTAGGTTGATATAATAACATTAAAAATTTACAGTACTAAAAAATGAAATATCTGGGTCAAGTGAAATACCTTTCTAATGAGCCATAACATCAGAGTAGGTGTGTTCGAATAACAATTTTTAAATAAAAGTACTTGACGACAGACTTTTCAAGTGGATCCTAAAAATGCATAACTTCAAAAAAACTTCATTTTTTGTGTGTGTTATATAGGGTAATTAGTCTTCAACCTCTGGAAAATTTTAGTCTGCCCTTCTACGAAATATTTAATTAAAATTTTTTTAAATATTTTTGAACTTTCGAAAATTTCCCCCTGACAACCGATCAGACAATGGTTTTAAGTTGATCAAATGCATAAAAGTATATTAAATGATATTTAATAGCTATTAGATACATTTGTCATTTAAAATACAACAGGCTTAAAATGATCGTAATGATACTATGTGAATAAATTTATCGGTTTTCAAGAGCTAAATTGACAGCGCGTCATCACTACAATGGCTTCCATTTTTACGATTATAAAAATAAGGTGGCTTAATGGGGAGATAATTTTGACGAAGTAGAATCCTGACTGTGTCCTTAGCTGAGCATTTTGATTAATTTAAGTATTGTTGCCTATTTCACGACCAGGATACTACGTCACCATTATTTTATCGAAAAACGGTTTGTCTCAAGGTAAGTTGACACAAATTTAGGCTCTTTCATATCATTCCTCGTGAAAACTGATAAGTGCATCGTACTCCACTGTATTTTTGCTTACCTTTCGCAATCCTTCGGTACTGTGGTTTTTGAAAACATTTCTCTGTGTGTGACATTATCAGAATAATACAGAAGTAACAAAACCAACACTGAACAATACTCACATACAACGTAGACTGCTCTATATGAATATCGTAAAAATCATAAAATGATACAGTTTATACTCCATATTAAATGTTACTGTTTCATCACTTCTTAAAAGTTTGGTTTATTTGACTTAGAATTATAAATGTTTTTATCAAAACAAAGATAGGTATAAAACAACCAGTATTTCCTTGTTGATGATGCATTGTTTAGCATAAACTGAATAATAGTATTCATTATGACATATATTTAACAAGTGAACGTGATTTTTTCCAATTTTCATGAAAATATGTTTTATATTGAAAGCAGTCTGAATCTAGAATGCAATGTAAGAGAAATTTCACCAAGAAACACAGTCGTCTTTTATCTGTCCTTATTGATGCTAATTGACATTTGCAAAGAAAAGAAAATCCCCCTATATAGAGAAATTGAACCCTAATTCATGTCCAGAAGATAAAAAATAGAGAAAGAATAGACGACATCTCAGGATTTAGATTGCCCTTTCCGCTTTCCCTGACACTGTTCGACTAATCGCGTAATGTTCATAAACCCAAACATAAAACAAACAAATTTACTTCCGATGATACGCAGTTCAAGCTTCCAGAATTTCTTTTTTCGTTTTAATATATTGCATACTATTTATATTTGGTTTTGGTATCAACTTTCAATTTAAATTTATTAATCTAAAGCTGTAACAATAACCTTGTTGCTACAGCATTCAAGAAATGATATGTACTAATTTCCGTCTGTTGATAAGCTTGAAATAATTTTCGATACCATCTTTCTGTAATTCTATTTCCAATTTGGGAAATAGATGTATTGTTTTATTTGTTCCACTGAGAACCTAAGTCCAGATAATTCCGCCTGTATAAACAACAATTATACTCTGCAAAAGTTACAACTGTGCATTTTATTAATCACTCTATGTTATAAATTTTCTCAGATAAGTAATTTACTTCAGTATCATACAAAATGTATATCCGAAATACTTTTAATGAAATTTCAACATTAATAGAAAAATTTAAAATGCTTTATTTGTTGATAAAAAAAGTACACCTTTGATGCTATTATCTGTAATATGAGTATGATAAACATATCCGTAAATGAAAGAAAATATACTGGATAGCTGGAATATCATTCACTAGGAATGATTCGTAACCACACTTGTTTCAATGATGACCAACTGGTCGAAGGTCAAAATTATCGTCCTTTGATTTTCGTTGTCTATGGATATGTGGACAGTGTATTACTTGAAAACAAATTTCATATACCTTCCAAATGTCTTTCTTTATATATAATGCATAAAAAGGTAAGGAGGGGGGAAATACAATTCCAAAAATTTGGGTAATGAATTTTAAGGTAAAGTAGTGATTTGATCCAGTTGAAAAGGTAAAAAATAATATGTCTTAAAATAAACTTGTCCACATTTTGAGTAAGAGCCGGTAGAATTTTCTATAACCAAAAGTAGTTTACCATACCATTAAAATATAATTGAGAAAGAGCTAGTGCGATTTTTTTTTTAAATTTGCATTTATTGTTCGAAAGAAATGCATTACAAAATAACTGTGTTCTAAAGGCCATATTGGGAAATATTGACAAAGGATGAGATTTTTTTTTCATAAAAATGTTTGAAAAATATTTGTACTGTAAAATTTAAACGCATTCCAAATTTCTGTTATGAAGTTAATCTTTAAGTTTTTTTTAATGAATTAAGCTGTAGCAATGCTGGCTTGAAAAAACAATGTTTTTCTATAAGCACTCAATTACTAAAAAATAGCAGATTTTTTATTATTATATTCCTGTAATTTGAATTTTGTATAGTTTAGCTTTCCGTTTGTTGTCTGTAGCACCTTTGTATCTACTGCCAATCCATAAATAATGTAATTCATCAAATTTCATGCTGATTGGATATTCAATTTTTAAGCCTTCCAACGATTGGCGTAGAATTTGAATACCATCATAGCTAAGAATGTGGAATGCATTATTAGCTGAATCTAACACTATGATTTTTGCGAATTCTGTAACTACTACATCAGAAGGAAGGAATGGTCTTGGGCTGAAACTAGGATGTAGGTCACTGTATCTCCATTTTATATTGCCATACTTATTGAGTGCTACGATTGTCCCAGTGAATTGACTTTTTCTGTCAATCACATAAATTCTGTCCTGATTTGTTGTTATTCGCCATGGAAATGTAAACAGTGGTTGATTTGCTTCTGTATATTTGAAAATGCTGCATACTTTTCCATCGGGTGATATGGAAACTACTTGACGAGAGCTATTATATGCTAGTTCAAAATTTGCTCCAATTTCGGCAAGCCCTATCCAGATGATTGAATCGTTGTCTTTCTCAATATGAATACACAAAGGTTCCATGGTGAAATGTTCCGATACTGATGATACCTGAATTTTATCGTGCTTGTTTTTCTTCACTAGTTTTATAAAATTGTCGCTTTTGCATATAAAATAAATATCCCCAACTGAATTAACAGCTAAGTCAGCTGGTTCTAATCCCTTTACTTCGTTGAAATACTCGAGTCTGTTGGTAAATAATATTGGTGTTAATTTAATTTTACAAATATCTCCTTTATAATGACATATACATGCTTCATCTTTATTTACCATTTCTATACAGTTTATTGCTGGTAAATGTGTTGTGAATGTTTTAATGACTTCAAATTCGACTGTGTGACTGCTTTCATCTTCAGGGCAATCCACAAATATAAAATCAGAATCATCAGAAGACATCGTTTTTAAAATTTTCTTTCTACTTTTGTCTTCACTTGTATATTTCTCATGTACAAATTTATCGATATCAATAGTTCTATGATATGAGTGGCTTTCAGTAAAGCAATATTCGCAAATCAGAAATTTGCAAGTTTGACAAAAAGATGAATATTTTTTTGTGTTGTGTTTCTTGCAAGGCATTTTCCGAATTTCACATTCTGTACAATTGTTCATAATGATGCTGTCAAAAGACAAAATCGTATGTCTTGAATTTGATGGAGATAAAGAATGAATATCCTTACATTTTTCACATGTTATAATGTCACATTCCATGCAGCGATACTTCAGATTCTTTCTTGTACCACATACAGTACAAAAAATTGACACTTGTTTATCAAGTCTATGCATTGTGAAATGGATCTGTCACTTCTCTGGTTTCACATTTTTAAGCAAACACATATTTTTTGTAATGATCGTGATAATATTAGAATGTGTCTCCAGATGAACTTTCTGTTTATATATAAAATTTTATTTGAAGAGGTTTCAGTAAATATGTCCTTAATTATGACTCACTATTATGTTTAAATATTAAGCTTCCTGATTGATTTACCGATGATTCTAAACTGATATATCTGCATTAATCTAGAATTTCCTATTTGTTTACAAGTAAAAATATCAAATTTAGAAATTAGAAGAGAGGCAAAAGATACTATAGGGACATTCAAACTTATTAGTCGAAAATAAACTGACAGAGCCATGGCAAATAAATGAAAAAGACCAAAAGACAAACAACAGTATACAAAACACACAATTTGAATTAGGATTGATGTTAACTTGGTTATTTATTTTGGTGACTGTTTAACTTTTTGAGGAACGAATGTATGAATAAAAGCGTAGAAAGGCGAAAGAGGGACGAAAGATTCCAGAGGGACAGTCAAACTCATAGATCGAAAACGAACTGACAACGCCATGGCCAAAAATAAAAAGACAAACAGACACCTTCGTCACATGTGGAGCAGGATCGGCTTACCCTTCCGGAGCACCTGAGATCACCCCCATTTTTTGGTGGGGTTCGTGTTGCTTAGCGGCTTTAGTTTTCTATGTTGTGTCATCTGTACTATTATTTGTCTGTTTACTTTTATGCCAAACGTAGTTTTTTTCGAATAAAAGAGGGAGCATACAACTACATGAATCAACCACTGAATACGTTTGAAAATATCGAAGATCGTATTGAGAATACCCTCAGCCATTTATAATTGCACAGTACTGTAAATACCCCCAGAGTCCTTAATATTTTCGTAAAATGAACATAGTTTCCCTATATTTTCAGCTTGATTATCAAATGAAATGCAAAGAAATATTTAAAAGATTGGCAACTCAATGTAAACAAATAAATTTTGACAGAATATACTTTTAACCTTACCTGATCAGAAGGGTCAAGCGAGCTTTTGTCATCACTTGGCTTCCACCGTTAACTTTTACAAAAATCTTCTCCTCTGAAACTGATGGTCTAATTTGAACTAAACATGGCCATAATCATCATTGGTATCAAATTTCAAAAATATTTCTGATGATTCCGTCTGCCAACCAAGGTCGACATGTCTAAAAATAGAACAATGGGAACAAATGCTAAATTTTGTCAATTATCTTGAATATCCAATAAAGATATTGAAAATCGGATAGGTGAAAAAATCATGAAGACTCTCAGACGACTTCTTATAGGGTAATGCCTTTAAATAACAAATGTTACCAATTGTTTGTTGTTTCTTTTGCCTATTTCTTGAGAACAATAATAGATAGAAAAGAAACTTAAATAGCAAAAATTATCTAAATCATCAAAAGACACCTGATATGAGTTGCTGTCCTTAAATGACTGTTTTTACCAACTGTTTTGTGCATTTTTGCATTTTATCTTGTAAATTATTATAAATAGAAAGAAGCTTGCAAAGACGATCAACAGGATAAGATATAAATAGATCAACATGGTCGAAATCGTCAGTCAAATTTTTGCAGGATATATTGCCCTTAAATGACGATTTTTTTTCATTTTTGCACATTATCTTGAAAACTATAATTAATAGATCATATATGATAGAAACTTTTAAAAAGCAACAAATTACCTGCAAGACAAGATCTACAAATAGGTGCTCATATCCTATTAAAATTGTCAGATGACTGCAATTGGGAGTTATAAGCCTTAAATAAGGTTTTGAGAAAAAATATAGAGATAGATAGAGAGAAACTGTGAGCAGTAAAAATCATCAATAAGACCGATCAACAAATAGGCAAACACAGCCAAAATTGTCAGTCCACTTCTAATAGGAATTACAGTATTTGCTATAAATAGACATGTTCTAACAACTTATGTTCTAATCGACCTGTCCTTTTGATGTTTTCAATGAAATAAGGATAAAGATGTTTAGGATTTTGCACTCATTCATTCTTTTTTAATAGCGAATGAGGATAAGGCAAAAATTATTTTCCTCAGAATATGTATTTTTTCTAAAATTTCAATTCCTTTATTTTTCAAGCAGATTAAAATCTTTACTAAAAACATTTAGATACTGGTTTCAATGAACCGCAACACTGAAACATACAAAATGGCATTTAGCTATGCGATGTTTACTTAAATTGTTACAATATATATTTCCCAAATTTGTATTTAGAATTCGTTTTAATAATTTTTCTCAAAATTACAAAACTCAATAATCTGGAGACAATGTTTGAATCTTTCTCTACCGTTTAAACGTTACAACATATCTGATCAACAAAACACCACAACATATTTAAGTGATAAAAATTCAACCAAAATCAACATAAAAGTTTGAAACAACAAATGCACAAAAACATACCTTAATGAAAAATATGCTAGTTCAAATTAACAGCAATGGAGTACAAGACAAACAAAATAAAACAATTAAACCGAACATAACAAACACTTATTTCAAAATTAGTTATTACTACACATACTACTTAAAAACAGCTGAAAATGCCAATTTTAAAAATCAATTTCAAGATTTTACATTTGTTCTACGGTCTGAATTGAAAAGGAGATGTTTTGTATACATTGATAAGATACTTACCTAATGACACAATAAAGAAAACAAATATTATCAAAAATACCGAACTCCATGGTAAATAAAAAAAGGGGAAGTCCATAAAAACTGACAAAATCAAACGTTAGACTTTATCAACCAACATAACGAATGGAAAACAACTGACTTATTCCTAACTTGGTATAGGCATTTTCTGAAGAAAATGTAAATGTAAGTGTGAGCAAGTGACATTACAAGTTCGGGTTTTTGTCATAACTGTAACCGGTTCGGTACAATTTTTACACTGACCGGAAGACTTACTAAACGTGTTATGAAAGACAAAGAAGATTTTTAGTTTTGTACCTAGCGCCCATTTATATGTCTATAGATGTATAGCTACCACCTTTTTGTTTACTAATAAATATATATATCCACATCTGTATCTTCCTTTGTTGTCTTTCCCGCTTGGTTACATAAGTTAAACCTGGTTTTACAGCTAGCTAAACCTCCCACTTGTATCGGAAAGTTGTTTATAGTTCTGTTATATTGATCAAAATTGAGTGAGCAACCCAAACAGACATAATAGGTGATGTGACAATGATTGGGATACAGCAACCAAAAACTATATATATATGTAAACATACATCACATACATACAACAACTGACTGAATATGAATCTAAGAAAAACGCCAGCAAAAATGTTGTAGTAGTTGATTGTAAATTTGACAAAGACCCCAACAAAAAGTGTTTGTAGTTGATAGTAAATTTTAATAACATGTATATTGGGATTTGCAGATGACCGAAAATGAACACTTTTCAGTGGCGGATCCAGAACTTTTTGTAAGGGGGGGGCTGACTGACCTAAAGAGGGGGCCGCTCCAGTCACGCTTCAGTGATTCCCTATATAATCAACTAAATTTTTCCCACGAAAGGGGGGGGCCCGGGCCCCACCAGGCCCCCCTGGATCCGCCTATGCTTTTTCTTGTTAATTGTATTAAAAGTGTGCGTAGCTATAGACTTGTAGCTCCGTCTACGCTACATTGTATAAAGCCAATTCCGTTCATAAATATATTATTTGATTCAGATTGAATAACAATATATCATGTAGTTTGAAGCTTAGTTTTATTGGACCTTTTATGAAAAATGAAACAACTAGGTATAATTAAAATGAAAATTACATTTTTTTTTCAAAATGCAGGAAGTTTACAAAAAAGGCCATCACATCTTACAATGCTCAGAATAAAGATGAATTGTCTTTCCAAGAAGGAAGCTTTATCCAGGAAATTAAGTCAAGGTGACTACTATATTACTAATTATAGAATAATTTCTAATGGTTATTTCGTTTTAATTGACAACTGCCTATATATGGATAATTTAACTGGGAAATTCCTACACAATGCAAGTGGGTTTTTTTTGGCATCCAAAAAATGAATAAGGACACACAATCGATAATATTTAAAACACGTCAAATTCTTGTTAACAAACGCTTTTCATTAAGCCGCTGAATATAAAATTTTTCCATCAGTTCATCTCATTTTATTTAGATTGGGAAGCCTAAATAACTCATCAAAGATACCAGGCTTATAATTTTGTACGCCAGACGCGCGTTTTATCTACAAAAGATTCCCATCAGTGACAGAGAGGCGAAAGGTACCAAAGTGAAATTCAAACTCACAAGTGGAAAAACAAACTGAAAACGACCAAAAACAAACAACAGTACACAAAACACAACATAGAAAACTAAAGACTGAGCAACACGAACCTAACCAAAAACTGGGGTTGATCTCATGTGCTCTCAAAGATAAGCAGATCCTGCTCCAGATGTGGCACCCGTTGTATTGCTCATATGAGTACAAACCCGGTGATAAGTCTTAATCGGTAGGTCACATTCGGGGAAAAGAGGACGTGATTCTAGGGGACAATTGGAACATATCTGTCGTCATCTGCGAAATAGATATTCCATACCAGTCACCCAACTCGTGATGGCGTCCGTAAAATTTACGAAGGGATGATTTCAACTTAACCACTTATAACTCTTGATTTAATAGCTTTCTTGTGAGCAGCAACCCTCTATCAAGAAAATCAACTGGGAGATATTACTCCATATGCAGACGCTGCTGGAATGTTGCTACATAGAAATAGAAAGTTCACAACTGGGAAGCTGAAATCTTCTCTTTTGTCGTAAAGTTTTGTTTTCAGCCGACCCTAATTGTCAATTTCTAGATGTAAGTCAAGATATGATGCAGACTTAACTGTATCTGTTGTATCCTTCATTCAACATAGTCACAAATCTTTTTATAAATTATTGAGAGGACATCATCTATAAAGCGGAGTGAAGTTACAGGATAATGCTAACGTGTGTTCTTCCTTCCTAAGAAGCTCCTGTATGAAGTTAACCTCAAATGAATAAAGGGACAAGTCGGCAAGAAGAGAAGCACAGTTGGTTCCCATGGGAATGCCGATTATTTGTTGACAAACACGTCCTCCAAACTTGATAAATATTGAAAGTGAAGCTCGAAACAAAAGAATTAAAGGTGTGTGAATTTTTATTCATGTTGTTGAATGTGCATACTTACTTACAAATGTAGTCCTCTTTGTTCCTTGTGGGCTTGCATGGTTAAATCAAAAACATATGATTAAAATGTAAAAATGAAAGTTTTTCAATGGGAAGTTTATTATAAATTTTTTATAAGTAAGACTTTCTAGTTAGACACAAAAATAGATTTGATGACTATTTAGTAAAGATTTGAAATATAATTTACAGGGTGAAGAGAGTGATTTATATCAGTACAGTAAGGTGTTACCAAATGGTGACACAGGCTTCAGTCACAAAGCGTTGTGTGAATTCCATTGAAATTATCAATATGTTTTCATATTTTGGAGTCAGTATTGATCAAATCAATCGTGTTATCACTTTCATTATTGCATATAATCTAATATTAATTCTGTTTTTGTTATATGAACTGGTAATAAATTAGTACAAAACGGAAATCCACTTACTTTTCATTAAGTCTTTTAGAACTTGAAATCTCGTTTTAAAAATATGAATTTCGACATAAAACAATGACAATAACATATATTTATAACAGTATAACCATTCTGATTTAAACATTTTCCCCCAGAAAAGAGCAGTTCTTCTGATCACCCTTCATTGATGAAAAATATACAAAAGCATTTTTTATTTGTTTAAAAAAAGGAATGAATGGGTAAAATTCGAAAAGCCTTATAATTAGAGATTTATTATTGTCTTGTTTCAATTAGACAAGATAAAAGCTAATCTATATGGATTTTAGGTTTAAACTTATTGTATACCATGTTGAAATCTTGATGCTAGTATATAAATACTGAAATCTCAATGTTATATATTGATGGTAGGGATAAACTTCCATGAGCTAATGAGGAAATATTCATAATAAATTTAAACTCACCGAGTGCTAGTGATGGATTCTTGACGTCGGGTTTAAAGTTTTAATGTACAAGGATGAAATATTCATGTTAACTTTAAACTTAAAACTCTTAGATATTGATGGTAGATTGAAACTTTCATGAGCTAATG